CGGGAACAATTTCTAAGCATTTGAAGGTATTTGATAACTGCCCAAAATTTCTATTTTTGGAATAGAAAAAGAACAGAAATGCGTTTGGTAACTACACAAAATTTCTTTTTCTTAATAATATTTTGAAATTTTTAATATTTCTTTCTCTTTTTTTTTTCTTCTTCTTCTCTTTCCTTGGCCATGGCCAGGTCGCCGACGACCGACCACAGGCCAGGTCCAGCGAGGGCGTCGCGGCCCTCGCCAGCCACAGGCGAGGGTAGCTTGCCGCGAGTCGCCGCCCTTGCCTAGGCGGCGAGGGTCAAGCCGTCGCCCTCACCGGTGAGGGCCACGACGCCCTTGCCGGCCCTGGCTTGTGGTCGGTCACCGGTGACCAGCCATAGGCCAAGAAGAAGAAAAAAAAAATTCTTTTCCGTTTCTGATTCTTGTTTCCAGAATCAAGAAGCAACTTTTGTTTGCTTCTTGATTCTGTTTCAAAATTGATTATGGGAACAAATTTTTGAAATTTGTGCTCGGGAACAAAATATTTACCAAATGGATTTCTGTTCCAAAACTGATTCTGGGAACAAAAAAATAGAAATAGTTACTGTTTGGCTAGTTACCAAACGCGTCCTTAGTACCATTGTGAAAGATGTTCAATCAAGCATTTTGGTGGTGCGAGGTTGGGGTTTTCTGGGGCCTCCCAAATCATGGAGATGTTACATGAAAAAGTCATTTTTGGATATTATTGCAGTTTGCATAGAAAAGATTGAATAGGGCTTACATCAATTGGGCAACCATGGCACACCCACTAGACATCGAGTATGCCACAACATATATATTTTTATAAATCAGCTAAAAAACAAAAAAAAATCAGCTAAAAAACAAACAACTCGAGTTTCGCCATATATGACCCACCAGCTCTGTTCTCGTTTCAAGGTTTAGGCCAATTGAAAATGGTTTTTCGTAATTTTTTCTTTACTTTACTTTACTTTAATTTAATTTAATTTGATATTTCGCTGCAATTAGAAAAAAGGGAGAGAAAAAGAAGAAGAAAGTCATCGCCCATAAAGAAACATGAAGTGGATGACGACTAGATGTACATTTTGTTCGTTAGGTGGGTGAGCCATAAAGCATGATTGATGTTATAAATCTAGAGCGCTAAGCAAAGTCCACGTGGCGCGTGCCCAATTTATAGGACTATTCTTTTTTACATGGTTGCTTAGGGGTAACGAGACGTACTCCCAGATGGGGCCAATTTAAGCACCCAATTATTTAAATCTGATTGGTGGGTTATTGTTTGGGACCATCCTTGTCTCACAAACTCGCCAATTGATTGGTCCGTTTAGATTTCCTTCCACATTTAAAATGCAATGACGACTCTTTTATCGTTGTTCTTTTCACATAAAAAGGTGGAGATCGAGTGTTTTATTGGCTTAGACGGCTTAACTCTTTGAGATCTTCGGTTCAAGTCTCGTATGAAATACTCTAAAAACGAATGCCTAAAGGTACCAGGCCGATATATCGGGGAATGCGCCGATAAGATCATCGCATAAATTGTCAAATTAGTCCTAAATTTATTGTATGTATGTCATTTCAGTTCTAAACTCTCAAATTTTGTCAATTTAATCGTAAACTTTTGTGTGAAATTCCAATATAGTTTTTCCGGCCAGTTTTCGCCAAAAAATTATTGACTTGGCGGTGTGTTACATAGGACGGCCGGCTATAATTGGACTGTCACGTTAGCGATTTTTAGCAAATATTGACCAGAATGACTGTTTTGGAATTTCACACGAAGGTTTAGGATTAAATTGATAAAATTGAAAAGTTGGGAAGTCGAAATTAAGAATTCGTATTTCTAATTGATGCTAACTAACTATGCCGATGGCGAGTGATGCTTTCTTTTTCATGTAACACTTTGGTGGTGTTCGGGTCAGGAAATTTTTGACACCTCGATTAATTCACCTCCCCAATTACATTTGCCACGTAAAACTTTTAATTACTATTAAGGGATGATGACACAAATGGCTTTGAACTTTGATTTAATGTGTAATGCGATTACTGAACTTAAAAATGTTAAATGTAACTCTGAACTTTAGCCCAATATGTAATGTGGTCCATGAATTTTTGTTCAATGTAGTCATTGGACTTTTGGTACATGTTCAACTTTGTCTCTGAACTATTTTTCCATTAATTCAAGTTTAGGAATGATATTGAATTTCTTCATATAGTTCAGGGACTAAAAGTTCAAGGACAACATTAAATATGTATCAAAAGTCCATGGACCACACTGTACAAATTAAAAATTTATGAATCACATTATACATTAGGCCAAAATTCATGGGTTATTTGTGTCATTTTCCTGACTAATAATCAAAGGTCTTGTGATAAGGCCCCTTTATTGTGTTTCAATTAAATAAAAATAAAATTATACATGTATATGCTGTCGCACCGACAGTTAAATCTAGTAATCTCTGCATGAATAATCAAATGCAAAGAATCGTACTTGGCATGACACATAACGAGAAGAGCTCAGGTGATTGTAGAGGTGGCAACATGGGTTAGAAACCCATTAATTAACTCATTTTTAGTAGGTCAAGTTGAATATGGGTCACTTGAAATTTTGAAAACAGGTCAAAATGGATTTACAACATTAAATCCCAAGTTTATATGGGTCAAATATGGGTTTGTCAGACCCATATTCAACCCATTTAAGTTATTAACTTGTATCCTTGTAGGCTAAATAGCTTTAAGTGTCATTTCTAGCAAAAAAAAAGCTTAAGTGTCATTTAAAAAAAATTATTTTTTATATTTTAAAATATAGAATGTTTAATTATTTTATTTTTATTTTTTCTTTTCTTTTTCTGTTTCCTTCTTCTCTGGCCAGTCACATAGGCGAGCTTCGACCTTGCCCGAGCTCGCGATTTGGATGAGCCTCAAGTTCGCCTGAATCTGGTGAGCTCAAGCTCATCGATCTGGACGAGTTGGAATTCGTCCGGCGAGCTCGAGCTCGCCGATCTGGACAAGGTTGAGCCCGTCGGTCGAGCTCACCTGCAGCCGGTCGAGCTCGCCTGCAGCCGATCGCTGGCCCTTGCCGGTGGCCTGCCGAAAAAGAAAAAGAAAAAGAAAAAGAAAAAGTAATTAAAATTTTCATTTTTAAAAATAAAAAATAAAAAGAAAATAAAAGATATATAAAAATATATAAAAATTATTTTTTAAAATTATAAAATTTGTTCACTTATTTTATATTGCATTGAAGCATTTTAGCAATATAAATATTATAAGAAATAAGTTTTTTTCTAAATTGGATTTTAAAATCTTTTAGAATACGGGTCGGGTCGGGTATTGTCATTAGATTTACACTACATGAATATGGGTCAAAACGGATTAAATCGGTCAATATGGGTTGGATTTTAAAATCCAGGAACGTGGTTAGTTTGTTTCACTAAAAATTTCAGGGAAATATCTTCTATGAAAATTATTTTTAAAAAAATGATTGGTTTTTATTTGTTTGATGGTTTAGAAAAAGTGGATTTCCATTTTTGCTAGAACGAGAGTTATCTTCTCACAATCTAAGTTTGTTGTTTTCGATCTATGAAAAACGTTTTTGGTGAATCGATTAGTTTTTCATCATTCAAACACTAGAAAATTGGAAAATAAAATTTTTGAAACATTTTGCCTTCAAACAAACGGACCCTAGTGGAAATAAATGGAGCTTAATGGTTAACCATGAAAAACAGATATTGTGTTTCTTCTTAAACATACTCGTTGTAAATTAAACCTAATCATTGAATAGATTCGAGCGAACTCATTTAGAATGAACTACTCGCGAGTAACTTGTGCGTGGCTCGATGACTATCAAGATTGACTTGCTTAACTTCTAATTGAGCTCGAATTGAGCTACTTGAGTGTCTTGTTGAGTCGAACTTGGGCTCGAGCTTGTTAATACTCAGTTCGATAGGTTTGCAAACTCAGCCTAATCAAGCTTTTAGTAATTAGTAAGCTAGATAAAACATACTAAAATTACATAATGTTCAAGCTCGAGTTCTATTTATAAGTTGATTGTAATCGAGACAAGTCAAGTTAAGCTCAATATCTCGATTTTCTAACCAGTCGAGCTCGAGTAGAAAATCAATGTTCCGTCGAGCTTGAGTTCGCCTTTCGAGTATCAAGTATGCGAATTGAGTTGAGCTCGAGCCTGGCAGTGCATCAATTGGCTCGATTGCACTCCTAAACTCCAGTAAGGTTGGCAAAAGTTGTTAGGCCCAATAGGACTAAACTGGGCCAAGCTTTCACTCTACCGGGCCCGCTAAGTAACAGAAAAGTATCTAAAAAAGTTTGGAGATACGTAAATGGGCCGGGTTGGATTTTTAAAAGTGCTCCCTATAAAAAGCGAAATTCTTAGTTGAGGGTAAAATGTAAAGGATTCTTGATGACATAAGAATGAATTATAAGTAAACAATAATGTTTTTGTTATACTCAGAGATATAAATCATCAAACAAAATGCTTATTGGGAAGAGTCGCATTGCTAATTTGCACATTCAAACTCATTGAAATCGGCGGTATTGAATTAGGCGATTACCTACGAGATGGAGAAATCCTAATTAGAACTCTGGAGCAAGTTAAAATAGAAAGCCTAGGAAAAGTTCTCCTTACATCGAGATACATCGATATTTCACAAATTAAAAGTCTCTTATTTGCTAAGGGTGTCAACATGGCACTAGAGAGCTCGATTTCAAACCCGATTCCAGAGAGTCGGTCTCTGATTGCCGTGGGATCGTGCGAACTCACAAGTATGATCAGAAAACAAGAGAAGTTCAAGAGGATTCCGGCGGGCGAACGGGCGTTTTTCCATTTCTCGTCCGATAATCGCTGCCGGCCGTGCTTAGCGACCGAGCTAATTGGGCTTTTCGGGCTCAATTAAAGGGGCCATTATCGGAAATAAACATAAATTACGGGGCTCAAGTCTAATTTGCTCATCATTTTTTCTCTCTCTCTCTCTCTCTCTCTCTCTCTCTTTTTCAATTCCTTTCGTCTCTGCACAGCAATTTCTTTCGTTTCGGCGACGCCACTGTAGAGAGAAAAAAAAGCTTCGACGATCTCGGAAACGCAGATCTCCGCCCAGAACCAAATCGAAGCCTCGGGCCAAAGCCTAGGACCTGGAGGCTCTCGTCGGCGGATTCCGCGACCACAATCCGATCAGGTACTGTCCTCCTCCCGTTTTCCGGCTATCGCGCGCGGCCCGATCCTTCCCGGGGATCATCGGCGAGAATGGTCGGCCAGCTCGTCCGTGAGAGGGAGGGTCGAGTTTCCGGTCGATTGAATTGTTTTCAATCCGTCCCGGCAGTGCGCGGCCTTTGTCCGTTCCGCGAGCCGCGGTCGAGGCTTCGCTGATCGTTGCGCGTTACTAATTCGGAGTTGCATTGCTCTGCGAAGTCCTGAGAGAAACGGAGGATTGTTACGTGTCTTCGCGGGGACGTAATCCGTTCGATTTGTCCACGTAGATGTTCTAGAGTGAGCTCAATTTACTACCTTGCTGAGCTCGAACTTTTTCTATCTCGTGTCGCGTCGTTCGGAGGGGGCGGTAGCACGGTAGTCGTTTTCGAGTCGACTTGATTAGGAGGAACTTAGTCTCGGGGGACGTTCTCTGAGATTTTTTCGGTCTAACCGATGAAGTGAAGGACTTAAGAAATGTAGTTAACTCCATTTTTTTGTGCTAATCGCGAGTCGTGTGCATGCATATCTTTGATTTCGATTTAGCGGGTGGGTGTTCGGAGTTCTGGGAGTGTGATGGGCTACTCTTTCAATGTACAGATTGGAGTACTCAGGCTGTAGATTGTTTCTTGAACAAGGATGAGTATCTCCTTGCCAATCATCAGAAGGTGAAGTTCCAAGTTTGGTCGAAAGCATGAACATAGTAAAGGGTGTTGCTGATTTAATTCGAAGGACTTCAAGCGGACAAACTGGAGACTCCGGTTCAGGATTACAAGGGGAGAGGTTTCCACCTCCAGCGCCAAAAATCCGCTTCAGGTACTATCGCCTAGTCTACTAAGAGTCTACTTTCTTTTTCTTTCTCTCCTCTTTCATTTTGCTAGTCCAAGCACTTCATTGGACTCACACTATAATTTTTATTTTAGACGAACTAGTATGGAGTGGCATTACCTTATTTTGGATTGACAAGATAACTTTTGTACCACTTAGGGAGTGGCATTACCTGATTTCATACAATGTATCGGCATATTAGAATCAAGGTGGTAGGTATCTATGGTCACAACCGAACAAAGGAACAGGAACACTGGGTCCGTTCAATTTCTCTTCCCATCTGGCCTTGATTTTAGTCCATCCTACTAAATGTGCTGTAAACCTTCTAGAAAGGCTGAGAATGAAGAATAAGTTGGAGAATGTTATGTTAGCACAAGGACATGTTCTTATCTCTAAGGAAACTGATATTGCTTGTGAAAATTCAGTTTCTTGGTTTTGATATGATTATGACTGGCACCTGACTTCTTACTTCCTTGACATTTTTTCCAGCGAAGTTGGTGATGAAGCAATCTTGTATACATTGTGGGAGAGATATGAAAAGGAAACTGATAAGGTAATTAGAAGTTTCTCAAATTTCCACAGATGTTCTTTCTAGGTATTGTTTTGCGATTAAGACTCTTTCTAGGTATGATTAGGCAATTTCTAGTTGTTCTTTTTCTATTTACATTCATGAAATGGAGATGTTTCATACTTCATGACAAGATGATATCTGTGTCTTGAAATGGATGCAGTACCGCGCTTTAGTGGATGAACAATCTTTGTCAGGAGCTTGTTTTTGTGTGTTTTGCTATCTGCATAAATAGGACTGGTGTTTCTTTGCCGCTGGACCTAAAAGTCCATTAATGACTGGATATCCAAAGGGATACTGCCAAGAGACCGCAAAAGATAAGGTGGTTAGCCAGTGATAACCTCCTGGACTTTCCTCATTTTGGAAAGCCCTTCTATCTTTTCTTTCCAAATAGCCCTAAATGAAGGAGCAATTAAAGGCAGAAGAATTTTTTGACCTCTGGATGAAATCAATACTGCCAAATTAAGAGTTCTTCTGTAATAGATCCTGCCATGGCCCAAGGAATGTGTTAGGATGACAAGGCTGAATTTCGAAATTTTTTGAGAAGATGATTAATGGATCTGCTTACGGCGGAACAGCTGCCGCCCGGCAGTTGAGCTTTTCTCTTTAAACTTTCTGAATTTGTCATAAAAAAGATCACCAATGCAGGCGATTTGTTGACCAGCAATTATTCGATGGAAAAGCAAAAAATACCAGTTTTTTTGTGTGCTGGAGCTCTAATATAAGTTGATTTACTGAGAAGTTTCTATTTCTATTGTGAAGTCCTAACAAATTATCCTCTCCCTGCTAGTATGCTGAATGCAATGAGCAAGTTACCAAAATAGTGTAGGAATTTAATTGTACTACCTTTGGACTAAAACTTTTCCCTGATTTACATTAACACAATATTCCTGGAATGTCTGCATCATTATGGTTTTGGTGTTTTCCCTTTTGAGCATATTTTACGGGTACTGTTGGACAGCTTGAGATCCCCACCCTCCCCTAACCCGAGTGTTCATTGTGATTTTTTCTTGTCCAAAGGATTCTGTATGATAAAAGTATTCTAGGATATCTGAGTGGCTTCAGACCTTTTCTTTGCTGTATCGGTATTTATCTGTGCAACTGTTTATTATCCCATCATTGGACCCTAGGTGGAAAAGAAGAAGTTGTTTCAAGTATTTCTGAAGCAGTTCCTGACTGTATATGAGAACTGGAAGCCGGTTAATTATGGTCAGTTTTCAGAGGCTTCTGTTTCAAGTGAACTATCGGGGGAATATTCGTCAGATGTCGATGACATTGCTAGCGGATGCTCAATTGGACATCCTGCTGGAGTAATATCAATTTTCATTCAAGAGATTGCACAGTTAACTGCACTAATTAATGAGCGTAAGTTGAGCTTTTACTCATGTCTTGTTAAGTGCTCTGTGGAAATGCTTTTCTGATATTACTTTTTTCCATCTCTCGAAGGATGAAAACTTTGTGCATGTAGAGTCATCTTTCTTGTTGATCACTAGTTAAGAAAATTCCGCTTTCCAATTATTGTTCTTCATCCATTTTGGCCAGCATTTATTTTCCTTCATTGAAAACGCAGGTTTTTTTGCTACTTTTTTGGTGTGATGATGCCTATTCTAAGACCGATAAGCTCTTTGGTTTCTGTTGCCTACTCAGCTTTCTTTAGCTGGATGACTTTGTGCGGAGACTTGTGCATGCTTCTTGCTGATCTTCATGTTTGCTTTATAATGAGCAGCATTCTTATATTGTGCTCATCCCATGTAGCGACTGAGATTGTTGTCACATAAATACAAAGTGGAAGTGTCTAAGGTTCCAGATTGATCTCAGTAGTTGCGTGCACGATGAAGTGTATCTTAGACTCAGGTGTTAATATAACTTTATCAATGTATGCTTATGATCTGGAAAGGTTCACATAAATACAAAGTGGAAGTGTCTAAGGTTCCAGATTGACCTCAGTAGTTGCGTGCACAATGAAGTGTATCTTAGACTCAGATGTTAATAGAACTTTATGAACGAATGCTTCGGATCTGGAAAGGTTGTTTTTCTCCCAAATTGATAAGAAATTAAGCTCTGCCTGCTTCCTTTTATTATTTCAAGCAAGTGATTTGCGGTTATAAAAATCAAATGACTCTTTCCCAAATAAATTCAGTGAGTTCCAGCATCATGCAATCAAACATCAACTTGGTGGGGCCTTCTACAAGCTTCATTGTCACATCTGAAGGCATGCCCGTGTTGGTTGCTCTGTCTGTTGTTACACGTTCAATGCATAACTGCAGAGTCTTCGGCTATTATGGAGGGGTACAAAAGCTTACAGCGTTGATGAAAGGTAGGATAATACAAACTCTTTGTCATGTGGAACTGCTTGGCATGTTTTTGTCTAGCTGTTACCGGCTATGTTGGATGTCTGTTTTAATTACTTTCTTTAAGTTCTTTTCTTGGAAGACAATTATCTAGGGGACCATGATTGTGGTGCAAATGTGCTGATAGTAAGAATGATGTGCTTGTGCACTGTTCTTTGTCCTCGATCTCTTTCTATCTCGTGTTAGATTATGCCATTTTCTTATTTCTGCATGGGAGTTTGGGAGAGTTAATTTTGTGCATGCGTAACATGTCCCAATAATTTCTGGGCTTGAATTAGTATTCCTTAAATCTTATTCTTGAATCCCTATTCCCTTTTTTCTTTATGGTGAAAAGTCGGAATGGGTTAACAGTTTGTCTTTACTTCTCAAGTATGTGAAAATATTGTTGTCACTTGAAATATGCAATGAATTTGGCTTTTTAGGGTATGAACTTTGTATGGGAATCCTTATGTGAGTCTCTTGTATGTTTGCTCATCCATGAAATTTAATAATGTAGGGTCTCTTTGTTGCAGGTGCTGTTGTCCAGCTTAAGACAATAACTGGATCACTCTCTGCTGATGAAAATTTCTCCAACTTTACATTAGAGAAGATCAAGCTTTTGCAACAGATCCTCGTACATGTTGTGTCCATAATTTATAATTTCATTGATTGGATTCCATATTCATATAAGAAGGCTCAATTTGACGGCAGTATCAGTTGCTGTAATCTGCCCTGGAATTCTCCCTCTGTATTTGATTCTGCTAGTGTCATGGACATTCCTTCGTCCGAAGCAAGGTTACTTTGGCATCAGAAGGCCGTAGTTTCTTTGATGGAGGCTGGTGGACTTAACTGGTTAGTAGGTAAGGTAGGAGATTTTGAGTTGCTTCATGAATTTGACATGGTATGGGCATAGAAAATTTCTGATTGGTCATGTGGACATTCAAGATTTTCGCTGCTTGCGTGATGCTAGGCTTACATAATTGCATCTGGCTATGTAGATTCTCGTCGTCCAATTTAGAGATATAGTATCACATTTTTAGTTTTTGTGGCCCATTCATTTCTTCTGATCATAGAGTTTGAATAGCTAACGAGCATTGTCATCAACGGAGTCTTTCTTCCTTTGATATTTGATTATTATAAAGAACTTCCCTTTTGTTACTTGTGAGACTTGCCATTCTTAATGAATGAACTTGTACTTCGAGTTTTGCAACAATTTAAGGTAAATTTGCTTCAGCTGGGGTGAATACGAATGGTGCAGATGTGCATACTGTCAATCTTTCTTATTGCTTTCTTATATTAGATTCCTTCTTTATTTTTTTTGCTCGTTTCCTGTAAGAACTGCTTTTCAAGTGGGATATGATAATTTGAGGTAATGGGAGTGGGTTAGGCTTTCACTGGAAATGCAATGTCCGTACATCTGAAATGTGTAATATTTCTGGTAGAGTGCTTATCTCTGTGGTTCAGTTGTTGATTCAGAAAGATCCCTTTATGTTTCAGATCTCTTGCGTGTAATCAGAAGGTTGAGTATGAAAGAACAGTTTATGGATTTCAATCTTCAGCATTTGACCTTGAAAAGTCTTCTATCTGCTTTATCTGGTAATCTGAGGGGCCAGAACCATTTCAAAAGCATTGGAGGACTTGAAGTTTTACTGGATGGACTTGGACTTCCGACAAATAACGTGTATAATTTGAAAAATATCTACAATATCATTGACAAAAGGTATATTTACTTAGTAGCAGTGTTATTGCTAAGATATGTTCTTTCGGTCCACTTTAATATAGTCGAGAAAATGTTCTATTTACTCCTGCAAGCCTTAGTTGGTGATTATAATCCTAATTTCACACATTAGCTTATCATTTCCTTGAATCAGTGAAATAAACAGCAAGTTTATTATTGATCAGTGACATGCCATAATAATGTTTTTGTCGTGTAAACTGATGTGAATGCTTCGATTGATAAAGCAATGTCGTGTAGATCCCTCTCCTCCTAGAAGAAGAGACATGATTTGAGTTAGGAAGGAAAATAAGTTCATCGAAATAAGTCTATGCTTGAAGGTGACATGATTCCTATCTCAAAAAGTTTCATTGGCCCTTTTTGAGTCAAAGGTAAAATTTTGGACTTTAGAAATGCTGAAATAGGAATGGCGCTTGATAGGGCCCTCTCTGTATCACCATCATTGGAAGTTTTTTGTGCTTTCAAAAGAATCTATAATGCTCCTGTACCTTAAATGGCGCGATCATGTTCCAGAGAAAATGATCTATGCCTTGATTGTTGAGTTCATAAATACTTAAATATTAAGATGCGTGCATTCTTTTTGCTTTGGTCCAGAGGTATCACTAATACAAATATATTCTTATACACACGTATTTAATGATGTGTTTTGTCTACTTCTACTAGCCAATTGAAAGACAAAGTTTGTCTGCTGCATTAATTTGTTGTGCATATTGCTTTGTCCATAGCATCTATCTCCTGACAGCGTGAAGATGATAAATTAGTTATCTCGTACTAGAAAGATTATAACATCGGGGGCATCTGTTAGTTTTGGCATTTTGAATGTTGGAGAAAGATTAGTTGCAGCCATGCTATTTGGATGATGCTTCTTGGCCAACTAACTTTTACAAAATTCAGATATTTGACAAGAATAAGTGGGTAAATGATATTGCTGAGGCTGATTTATTATCGGGACATACTTGGGCGTGCTGGCTAATGAACAGTCATTTTCAATTGTCGCTATGTAAGTATAAGAAAGCCAAGAAGCCTTTTGTGCGTGTAAGTCTCTACTTTGGAAATAGGAGGTGAGCATTAGTGAGTGGTCTGCCTACTTTGTTGTGACTCAAAGCTCATTGAAGTAGTAGAATCATTGTCTCTCAAATTCAGATAGAGCTGTGTCTCTTGACTTCTTTAGTGCCAAGATGGTGGGCTTCCTGCACCTGGGAGCTCGTGCTTTCAGAATTGCTTAGCTATTAGGTGCAAAGGCTGTGCTATGCACAGGAATTATATATTAATTTTGTTGTCCTTCATAATGAAATGATCTCTTTGAACGAACATAAATTTTTCAGCAATAACTACTATATCATTTCTGAGATCATTTATATGAGAAAAAAGTAAATAAGGAGAAAATAGGCTTCCAAATTTTGAAGGTTTACAATATATGTGATACAAATGCTGTAATCATGAAGTTTCGGCAAAATGCTTGTATGTTGTCATAATTTATTTATTTAGATAGTTTGCAAGAAGTTATATTATGACTAATTAATCAAGCACTATGGTATAATTATCAATTGGTATAGTTATCTTTACCAATTATTCATTAGTGGGATGAATCTCATGTTCATACTTACGTTATTATACAAGATATACAAGACTCTTATCATATCATAGAGTAGAAAGTGAAGCATTGCAGTATCAATTACGCCTCCTTAAATTGACGTGTGAAGTGGTTTTCAAATGGCTATAGGGTTATGTTGTTTACTTGCTTTCAGTGACACTATAACGAACCCTAAGAAAATTTGATTGAGTTATCCACTTGGGTGCTGCTAGATTGTGTTGGATGGATAGACTTTTTACTTCATGAAATTCAGTATAAGTTAGTTGATTTAAATTCTCAAATGGAAATAATTCAGGGTTGTCTTTACTTATTTCAACATGACTAAGTGCCAAAAGCTGGATAGAGGGTTATACGAACATAGTTAGTCAATTGAATCGAAAAGGTTTTCCGTTCTCTGCTTCCAGAGTTAATTTTGCTAATAAGAGAATTGACATGAGAAAACAAGTGAATGACACACATTGTTGACTCAATCCTTTTACTAATACACGAAAGTCTGCATAATTTTCAAAGTGAACCCCAAACTCCATGGAGCATCAAGAGTACTGATGGTGAAGATTCTCTATAACTGAATAAGATTGACAGGAACTGAAATGCATAGCCTCTATGACAAAGCAGCAGGTTTATCTTTATCCAATGGAGTTGCCGTGCCAACTGATGTGCTAGTTTTTGTTTCTCTTGAAATATCTGTTAAGAAATGGGCATCAATAATTGTCACTGGATGTGGTTCTAAGATAGTAATCTTCATTTATTGCATATTGATGCATGCTTCAATGTTCTAACATTTTAATTATATTGCAGAGATGAGAATCCTTTGCTGCATCTACTTCGGCTTCATATTCTTTCATTGGAAGTTCTCAGGGAAGCTGTGTATCCATTACTCTATTTGCTTAATGAATCCGTGGATCTCATTTTATTTGATCGACGTGTCATAGGCGCAAAATAGAACGACCAAGAAGACGGTGATTTGGGGGGGGGGGGGGGGGGTTGAATTGTTTGTTATGTTAAGTTGGTGTTTATTTCGAAAGATTTCGTGTAAGTGTGGTAATTCAGACAATTTAATCAACAATAGGACAATAAACAAATGAGTTAACAAGAGTGAAGCTTAGATCGATGTTAATAAAGGTTTGGCCACCTTTAGCTACTTTCTTTCTTCCAGCATTAGTAGCCCAATTATGCTTGAATTCACTCATTAAACAAATTTTACAAAATTGCCCACAGTTTGGCAGGACTCGTTCCTTCCCTCTGATCTGATGCCCCTTAGCACTCTGCCAGTACCTTGGAGAGTAAGCCCCTTCTACTGATACCTCATAATGGGAACGTACCTTTTTATTCCACAGTTGCATTACTAGGTTTTTCCTTACACTGGTTTGTGGATTCCATGGCAGAACTTAGAGCCTCTTGATATAGCTCGCAGGAGAACAATCCCCCATCTACTAAAGTACTTATACGTCATGGCGAACTCTCTCTCAAATGACAATCACTATACCCCAATGTATACAAACAAAAACGAATACTCAAGAATGATTTAAATGAATTTGACAAACTGCCAGCATTAGAATTACAAAAGAACGGATGTATGAGGTGCAAGAGTAGAAAACTGCCAGAGTAGTAAACTTTTCTCTACTTGAAAGTTGAATATTTGTCTTTGAATTGCTCGTCTTACTCTTCTAGAATTTCCATGAGAGTGACAGCTTATATCTCATTTGGGTGTAATAGACTCTCCATATCTTCGGAAATCGTCCCAGTCGCTAGCTGTACACAATCATCTATATGTGACTGGTCATCCAGATATTTTCAATTTCCAATAACTCAGTCAAATAACCCGAGATTTTCCTGCAAACCAAGGCTGTGAAGATCCCTGACAGATGTAATTTACTGCCATGAGCTAGGTCTTGACTTATTAAGTTTCATAAACAAGATTTGCTTAGTGAAAGTTCCTTCTGCCATCTGCGTCCTTGTCACTAGCAGAACTTGGAATTTTGTCAAGTTCTTTCTTATTAACCATCAGTGTTTTCCCCTTTCACATGCATGTCTTTCTCTTTTTGTAACGTTCTAATGATATTTTGTTCATCTAGAACATGACGGTTTTTCTATAGTTTTTTTTTCTTTTTTCTTTTGGATAGGTAGCTTGGTTAATGCATGTCACTTTTCTCAGGTACGAAATATGTAGCAGAACTTCCAACTTCTGGCTTTATGCTTCTGTCTTAGCACAGTGTTTTTGCATTCCCTCAATTAACTCATCATAGATCTTAATGAGAATTTGTGATCATCAAAATAAACAAGGGTTCTCAACATCAGTTTTAAGATATTTCTGACAACATGCCCTCCTTATTTCTTGACAAACACGTGAGCCTTGTCTTATGTTGTATGGTCCTTGACCTGGGTACAACTAATTTACTGTTCCTCTTCAAACCATGCCATTTGCTTTGATTGTTCCCTATGCTTCAGCTTTTGTTTACCATGAAAAAATTATGTAATTGATACCATGAATTTATATATCGGTAATCGTTTGTCACTAGATTTATGTTTGGTTCTTCTCTTGCTAGTGCTCTCATTAAAACTGTTATGAATTTTTGCACCTTAACCATCACACAGCTTTGGGAATCTAAGCAACTTGCAGTTCCTTTGTGAAAATGGAAGAATTCATAAGTTTGCAAATAGCTTTTGTTCTCCTGCTTTCGTATTCCAAGAACACAAGCAACAGGACAAGGTGTTGCCTCACCAAGATAATTTGGAAAATGATTATCAATCCACAACAAATCCTGCATCTCCCATTACACTTCCATCTGATGGCTTCAGTTCTCATCTATGGGTTGATTATATAGTTAAGTTGAGCATCGTGCTATGCTCTTTTCTGTATGCTCCAGAAGTTGTTAGTTCTCATCATGTCCAAGGAGCACTTACTCGAACTGCGATGCCTGGCTACCCTGCATATGGTGAACTTTCAGTTAAGTGGGTCTTAAAGGTTCTTCTTACGGTCTTCCCTTGCATCAGGGTTTGCTCAGATCAAAATGAGCTGCCAAGCCATTTAAGGTAGATGATGAGATTTATAAAGCTGCTAGTCCTCTATATGATGATTTTATTTATGGTGGTTGACATCCCTGTTTGGATCTTATGCTTTCAAGTCTAATATTTGAAACCTGAGACAGTGGTCTAGTAAAGATTCGGATCCTGATTAAGAAATCTTAGGATTGGTATGTTTCTAACTGGAACTTCAATGTCCATATGGACGAAATAGCTAACATGGACTATTACTTATTTAAAATTTTTATTAATAATTACTCAAAAGTGTGGTTGCGATTTGTAAGTTTGCATCGTTTATGTGGTATCTCATTCCTCTTTCTTAATTTCCTTGCCTGTCTACAATTTGCAGGATCTTCATGAATACTTTGCAGCACTTCAGTCTTAATGCCTTTAGGAAAGTTCTTGTTTCGTTACCTGTATTGCTTGAAGTATTCAGGGATGAGGGGTTATGGGAGCTCTTCTTCTCTGAAAATTTCTTTTATTTTGGCCCAGCCTTCCATGAATCATGTACAGAGATATGCAAAGGTGACGAGGGTTCTTCAGCAATGTGTGAAGTATCTTACTCCAATTTCACTGTCAATCAGTTAAAAGCCGGTCACACAGAAATTCTTCAGATGGAAATTATTTCATTTGTTGAATTGGCTGCAACATCCCATGAAAATGTGCACAACTTGGTAGTTCCCTTTCCTTGTTTTAAGAATTTTGTATGATACGTGTTACTATCCCGCTGGTGCTATCTAGCAGCATAAAGTAGTGGAATACATTTTGAAATTTAGTTTAGGCATCTTATGCGATTCACAGCTAGTATTAGCCATTAGTATTGATTTAGATGTGGTATAATTTGGGTTTTGCAAAAAAGATGTATAATTTGGTACTATAATTGTAAGTATCCGACGACTAAAGTCTTAATGTCTGATACAAGTATCATATAGCGATTTATATGCTTTCCGATGGCCATATAATCTTGAAGATTGGACAAATGCTTGGAGCTTTCAGCATTCATGATTCAGTTTTCCGCGTACTCTGGAGTACACTTATTAAAATAGGATAGAGAGCCCTTTATGGAAATTTCTTTAGCTTTTTCTAAAGTTTTTCATTGTGGTAAACTCTTATCGTTTTTGTAGTTATCTGTGCACCAGTACTGTTGCAACTCCTTATGTTTTTCTTTCTCTATCTCATGCTGTGGCAGCCTGAATTATCAGTTTTGTTAGATGCCCTTGAACAGTCTGCTTGCAACTCCAGGCTGTCCAGTGCTCTTGCAAGGAGTCTTCTTCATATATTACAACTTTCAGTGGAGAAAACTCTTGCTTCATTTAAGGCACTTGATGCAATTCCTCGAATACTCAAGGTGGTGTGCATCCAAGCCCAAGAAGTTCGACGGGCTGAAAACACGGGGTCATCTCTTGAGAAGTCTCAGGGATCTGATTCATCTGAGACAGCACAGAATTGGCAGAAAAGCATGGAAACGGTCATGAATATATTCTCAGAGTATTTGTCGTCAGATGATGATGCAAAGTTATCTATTTTGGTTAGCAGCACATCCGTCGATTGTTTATTTGATTTATTCTGGGAGGAGGATTTGAGGCGCTGTGTGCTTAATCACATTCTGGAACTCATGAAGGTAATATTATTCTCTGTTTAGTGTACAGGCTTCAGTACTTTGTACAGCTCAGAGAACTTAAAATCTTTTGCCTTCCCAGATTGTTCCATCTTCTACAGAAGATCAAAAGGCAACCTTGTACTTATGCTCTAAATATTTAGAAACTTTTACTCAAATAAAGGAACGAGGGAAAAGCTTTGTGGAGCTGTCTATTGATCTATTGATTGGAATTAGAGAAATGGTGCAGAGTAATTCGGAGGTAAATCTGCTTGTTCTTTATTTTATGTTCGCCATCCAATCAGTCGGCTGTGTTTGGGATAATGGGGTTTATCCTCAGCCCAGGGGGAGGGGGCTGTGGAAGTGCAGTAATTATTTCCATGTCAATTTGGCGAATGGGCTTTTTGATATCTGACTGAGGAACTTGTTTGTCTTCAGTATTATCAGGCTTTGTTTCGAGAAGGAGAGTGCTTTCTGCATGTTGTCTCCTTATTAAATGGTAATCTTGACACGGTCAAGGGAGAGGAGTTGGTTTTGAATGTCCTTCAGACTCTCACTTGTCTTCTCGCCGGTAATGATGCCTCGAAGGTAAAAATTTGTATATAGTTGTTAATGCATTTGTATATAGTTATTTTGCTAGTAATACCATTACTTTATCCTCTAATTGGTGGTCAAAATATTCCTTCCATTAAACAAGCTACCAGGGCATGGTGATAAGCAGAGCATTTGTAGTTTTAACTTGTTCATATCATCTCTAGACTTAGCTCTTCCTTTAAGAGTATATTTTGGATTATTCGATCTTTGATGACTTTAGCCAACAGCCTGTAACGTCAAGTCCTAACATCCTCATTTGTTGTTTATCCTACCTCTGTGCAGCTACATTAGATATTGATTTTGCAGCAGGTAATCTAAACATGACAATGGTTTAGATTGTCATTTCAATTTAATGCACTCTCAGCATTTCTTTCACATTGTTGGATGCAATAACATAGTTGTGGTTGTGTTGTGCGGGAAAATTATATCTTAAAGTTAATTTTTGATCTTGTCAAGAAATCCTTTTTGTTTCTAGAGCAGTCCTGGTAATTTGAGTGCATAACTTTGGACATGCCTTACTTCATTAAATATGGAACATGGAATCACTGCAGCGACACTGTGAGATTGTGGCACCTTGGTTTAGGCTAGCTAGATAGCTGCACTATGTGGATCCGTGCCTTTGGAACAACTTTTACAAATATTACAATGCTTGTTATATTCCATATTGAAATTTTTCCATTCGGCAATGGTAATAAATCATTGTCCCTATTGACTTGAATTACATTAGTCCCTCCAGTCAAGTGACTCCAGGTCTACAATGGGTGAATTTATTAAATTCAGGTAGGCTTGTTGTGACAAGAGCTTATATATTGTTTATTGCTATTAAATAGTTCAAGGTCATTATCTTCATCGATTTCAGAGATGCTGTTCCTGTGGTTATGGCAACTGTAAAGTAGGAATACTCAGGGATAAATTAGGAATTCTGTGCTTTAAGTAATAATATTAATCTAATGGGCGGTTCCTTTCAGAGAATGAGGATATTTAGAGTGTTTTCATTATCTATTGATTGGTGGTTAATATTTCAGCTGTATTTAGTGAATGATCTTACTCAAAGAAAATTAATGATCTCATAGATAGTAGGTGAAACTGTTGGGGTTACAATAATTGAAATTGCCTTTCTAGGCAAAATAATACTCCTACAGAGGCTGTACAAATTGGTTAGTCATTTTACCTTGAAGACACAGCAATGGCGTTTCTGGTTCCTCATTTTGCAATACCTTCCTTTGAAATTAGTAGCTTCTAATTCTTCCTTATTGAAAAGAGCCTTCTGGAAGATTATCGATCATTTCTGATCCTTTCAATAAAACTGAGGTTTGATGGAATCATTTGAACATCGAGTGTGGTGAGGACAACAGTTTGACAGTTCCAGTTCATACTTTGCCCATTTATGCTCATGCTGGCACATCATTTTTGTGAAACCTGCCCACAGTATGGTGCGAAATGTTCAACCTACTTGTGTTTGGATTTTCATGAAATGACTTTGTTTTTTTCATTAAGACAACCTATTTGGCATATGTTTAATGAGCGCTGATCATGGGTAACCTCCATTCATATAGTAATAAAAATATTTTCATGTAGATCTGAAAAATGAGTAGGTCATCCTTAACATGTTGAAAGATAGGTCTTTTGAAAATGACCTATACATAGGTAGGTTTCTAATTCTGAGCATATTCATTTTGTTGATTTGACATAATCTTGCTTTATACTGTATTTTCCCACCCAGCAGCAGAAATAATCCTTGTGCTAGAACTTTTAATTGTTAGGTTGTTCTGCTATTTCATCTCTTCATTTTCGCAGATTGCATTCAGAGCACTTGTTGGCAGTGGTTACCAGACGCTGCAAAGTTTGCTACTGGACTTATGTCAATGGCAGCCCAGTGAAGCACTCCTGAATGCTCTCCTTGATATGCTTGTAGATGGAAGATTTGATGTAAAGTCTAACTTTATTGTCAAGGTGACTCAGTGATGCCTCTGGTTTTAGAAAGTCGCAAGAGTTGCATAAAATGATATTTAATGCTCCTGCTTCTAAGACATACTTTTTTGCTTTTCATTTGTTTTGATTCAGAATGAAGATGTAATCATACTTTATCTCAGCGTTCTGCAGAAGGTTGGTTGTATAATCTCCTCAGACTCTGTGAATAAGGGGCTACATACATTGTTATTGTGAAGCCTTATAGCCTTGTATTCACATTTATTGCAAGTAATTAATGTTCTAACCATATTTTTTGTGGCTGGGCAGAGCAGTGCTTCTTTGCGTCATCATGGGCTTAATACTTATCAGCTATTGCTTAGAGATTCCATCTCGAACCGAGCTTCCTGCGTCAGAGTGGGAATGCTCAGTTTTCTTCTTGAGTGGTTTTCTCAAGAAGATGATGATCATGTTATCATGCGGATTGCCCAGTTGATTCAGGTCATTGGTGGTCACAGCATATCTGGGAAGGATATTCGCAAAATTTTTGCTCTTCTTCGCAGTGAGAAAGTTGGAGCCCGGCAGCAGTATTGTTCATTACTGTTGACTAGCGTTCTATCAATGCTAAGTGAGAGGGGACCGACTGCTTTTTTTGACCTCAGCGGTAGTGATTCTGTAAGTGTATACAGCAATAATTGGAAGATATGAAGAGAATAGTCTTGTTTATGGATTAGGTTGTCAACTCTATTTGTTGCCTAATTGATGGGTCTGCCCATCATAGAAATAGGATCAGCATGTGATAGGAGAGAAATATTGTCCTTGTCCAATCATGGCTTCCTCATACGGGGAGGAACTGAAATGATATTGGATTTATTGGTGAAGAGAACAACTTGCTTGTTGTCAATGATGCTGGGTCTATATTTGTTATTATGGGCGGGCTGTTTTCCATTGAAAAGATTTGTCTTCTTGCTGTGTTTTCCTTTCCGTGCTTTTTCTCCTTTTCGATGAAGATGGGTAGGGACCATCTTTTTCTTTGTGATGTGTGTCACTTGGTGAGCATCGTAGTTGCATTAGATGGTACCCTTGGTAATCTGCAGTACTCACCTAAGGATCTGATGCTTTTTGGAGCATTTAAATACTAAACCATACTTTCATCTAACTGCTTGAGCTTTTAGAGCAATTGACACTGTCACAAAATTTTCATATTACTAGAGCATGATGTCTTGCATTCAAATCTCTCAAGACTCCTTTGCATCCTCAAGATAGTTAATTTCTACCCTTAGTGTTAGGCCAAATACAAGCCTACATGTGAGGAGGAGTATTAGAGCATATCAATATCAAATCAGACCTATATCTTTCCACTTAAGCTTTAAGAAAGTTGTCCTGATAGAATTCTTTAATTTCTTTGATGGATTTTCTATCCATAGAACTAGAATTCCTCTCGGTTCTTTAGTTTTTCTGTCAGTTGGCAGAGCAAATCATTATCACGGGATATAAATCAATTGTGGTCAAGCTCCGCTCAAATGGGACTTTTTTCAGATAGGTGTCTTTCATGAGTCGCTTATGAATATATGTTTTTCCTAGGTTTGGATTAATTCAGGCTAGTGATTTTAGATCTGTTGGTGATATTGTGTGGACCTGTACATTTCACAGATTCCCCATCATGCGACATGGTAGAGAGAAATAGCCCAGGAAAAGATAAATATGTAACTTGATGGACTGTTGTGTGAAACGTATACAAATTCATCTATGCTTGATCAATTTTCTTGTGCCATTAAGCATGCATATTAAATATCCAGACATATTAACTGATCTTTTTGCCTTTTTGTTTCGAAGCAGGGTATCCAGATCAGATCACCTATTCAGTGGCCTCTTAATAAGGGCTTCTCCTTTTCATGTTGGCTTAGGGTTGAAAATTTTCCTAGAAATGGAGCAATGAGTCTTTTTAGTTTTCTCACAGAAAATGGAAGAGGTTGTGTGGCTCTACTTTCAAAGGATAGGCTGATATATGAGGTAGACATGGCTCCTTTGGGCTTAGTCATTTCTTAAGATGCGTTTAACTAGCTTTTCTAGTGAGATATCATTCTATATTGATACGTTGAATATGAAACTTTCTGGTTTTTTGTGCAAGCAGAGCTGACACTGATATTTCTTTTTCACCTTTTCTGCAGTCAGTCAACCTTAAGGAACAGTCTGTTGGCCTGCAAGTTAATCTAGTCAAGAAAAAATGGCATCATCTATGCTTAACACACAGCATTGGAAGAGCATTTTCGGGGGGTAGTCTTTTACGGTGTTTCTTGGATGGTGATCTTGTATCATCCGATAGATGCAGGTTTTGCCTCCTCCAATTTTGATGTTATTTACTTCTTTTCTGTTGGGTAGGATTTTACTTCTATGGAGATAGGTGTGAGAGAGACCTGTTCATATGCACTTCAGCCTCAAAATGTTGTCCACCCTAAAACTGAACCACTTAAATGGATTATAATAATTGCTGTTTCTTGAACCATTCGATCTGATTTTACTGTTATATCCAGTGATCTTAACTATAAGGGCCTTGGTTAATAAAGGGTATGTGCAACGAGCATACGTTGTGTAATGTTGTTCCATTCCGGTGACATTATCCTTTAAAAACTCAGTGACTAAATTACACAGTGATTCTTTCAAAAACTTGCACCAGCCATTTGATATGTTAACTTTTTTTTTACTTTTTTCCATCTACGAAGTTAATTTTTTAAAGTTACCCTCCTTAATGTTACTTAATGCTAAGTTAGGAGAGGGTAGACTTGTTCTCTTGTCAATTAGGAATATTGAGGCAATATAGCTTTGTATTGGCAAATCAATATGGTAGCGGATGAATGAAAGCATGAGAGCATTTCGGGAACACGGGATTGTGTGTTGGAAGCAAGGGTTAATTAAGAAAAAGAGGCTCTAGGCACAACCTTTGAATTTGGCCCAACCTTTCAGTTTTATCAAAGTATCTTATCTACTTATGTTTAATTGAAATTCTGGCTACTTCAAGTCTACTGCTAATGTTAATCTTCGAGAGGATGACGCAGCAGATGGAAATGCGAACTCCATGCCAATTATATGTTCCAACATGGGCACGTAACTTCAAAAGCAAACATCTACTTCATATCGTCCAACAAAAAAAAATAGATGAGAACAACAGTAAGCAAATGTACAATAGAAAAGGGCTCCTTCTTTAGTAAATATCATCAACTATTCCTTTCTTTGTTGACTGTCCTTAGAGTTGCTGAAAGCTAAGAGGATTTGCTTCAATTCTGACTGTGTCTCGGTTTTTGCATTCTTTATCTCCGTATGAAAAAGCTTCTCCTTCCACCAAGTGAACAAACAAAAAATCACTGTCAATTAATATTTGATATTTGATTCTATAATTTATTTTCCCTCATTTCATTTGAAGTTGTTCATTCTTTTAACAACTTTTAGTGTCAAGGATTGGGTAATTCATAAAAGCTGTTGTTAGTGGGTGATAACTTTGAAATACATGTATAGAAGAAATTATATTGTAAAATGTTCTTGAGTTGCACAGAATTTCTCCTAGGAATGTCACAACTCAAGTTTCAGTTGCTCCTCGCAAATAAGTAGTTGAAAAAACAAACTCACATTCCCAAAGCCTCTCTCTCTCTCTCTCTCTCTCTCGTTCTCTCTCATGGCTTAGTCCCCTTGGTTTTGTACTCATTGGGTTCTTAGCTTTTTGCTGAAGAGGAAGAGCCTTTTCTCTTTTTACGAGGGTTTACTATTTTTTCTGTGCTCTTTGTTTCTTAAATCCAGACAAATTGAGTCTGTCTTGGATTTTTTGGATGAACACGATGTGCAGTCCACATGGCACTATTAATTGAGGTGGGGCATTTCAATAGTATTTACCATGTGAATGTTGATGGAAAACTCTAACAGCAGACTAACGGGACTAGATTTGATGGACTTAAATATTAGTGTGTTGTGAGAAAATTCAAACATTCGGCAGATTTGATGATTGGACCAGAGTATATGCTTTTCCCCCCTTTAATAGCCCTAAAGTTAGTATGTTATATGACACATATATGTATAGTTCTAGTTATTGTGAATATACAAGGATGTAAGATTGTCTGACTTCCATTTCTTTTCTGTCCTTTCTGATTTCATAATTCAGGTATGCAAAAGTTAATGAGCAATTGACACATTGTACCATTGGTGCAAAAGTCTCTTTATCCACGAATGAAGAAGACGGTGCTATTGAGTCCAGAAGTTTGTTTCCTTTCCATGGTCAGATTGGTCCTGTTTATTTGTTCAACGATGCTATAACTCCCGAGCTAGTTCAGTGTGTCTATTTGCTCGGACCCAGCTATATGTACTCGTTCCTTGACCATGAAACTGCACCTTTCAGTAACAACCAGTTACCAAGTGGGATTCTTGATGCTAAAGATGGTCTTGCATCCAAAGTTGTATTTGGACTTAATGCTCAGGTTATCTACTCTGCATTTAAACAGTTCCTATTACCCTCCGTTATCTGTGCTTTAACAAATTCAATGGTGTTGGCTTTCTTTGTCAGGCTAGTGATGGCAAGAGATTGTTTAATGCATCAGCAGTGTTGGATCATGCATTGGATAGGAACTTATTTGAAGCGACTGTAATGGTTGGGACACACTTATGTTCAAGACGCTTGCTTCAACAGATAATATACTGCGTTGGTGGCGTCTCAGTCTTCTTTCCTCTTATAGCACAGTCTGAGAGATATGAACACGAGGAAAGTGGAGAATTTGAAAATGCTTTGCTGGTTCCTATCACGAAAGACCGCCTAACAGCTGAAATTATCGAACTTATAGCTTGTGTGTTGGATGAGAATTTAGCAAATCAACAGCAGATGCATATTCTTTCTGGCTTTTCAATTCTTGGATTTTTGCTGCGATCAGTTCCTCCTCAGCAACTTAATTTGGAAACTCTCTCAGCCTTGAAACATCTATTCAATGTTGTCGCAAATTGCAGTATGTATCATAAACTTCTTCTTGCTTCTACTTAAACGGTGATAGTTCTTCTTATTACAATGCAAGTTTAATAATATGATTCTTCATTTCATTCAGTAATATTTATGACAGCTTGCCAAGAGGAAAGAAATTGTGTGAGAGAAAGGAACCATACCCATGTACAAGGTTATGGACAGAAAGTCGACATAGTCTAACAGACTGTCCAAATGTAGAAGTTATTTTTCCAGTAACCTAAAACTTGAAACCAGTAACTATCTGTTCATGTTTGTTAGAATGTTCTAACAAAAGATTAGGCTATTGAAAGGAAGGAGACTATATGTATATATTTAGCCCATTAAACTCCCGCATTCATGCAATGTAGGATAACACTTTAATACTCTCTCTCACTTGCAAACCCCGACTAAAATCATATGAAGAATGCACATGGAAGTGAAGAATGGGAACCACACGCTAAATAAACCTGGTGCACGTGGCTCTAATATTATTGGAGAATGTCCAATCCACGAGCTTAAGCTACTAGGTGGAGGGAGACTATATGTATGTGAGCCCCATTGAAACCCCAAATTCAAGCGATGTGAGATAACCTGTTCAAAGTATTTATAGAATTAGACTCTAGACTCTGAAAAGTCCTCAAGTTTCTCCCTTTCCAAGTAAACCAAGCAATTGCTGGACGGATAACATGTATCAATCTCTTCTCATTAATTTACAGAACCCAAGTTCTTCCTTACCATAGAAGCTTTAGCCAAATGAGCGCCTAAATGTCCCAAATGCTGCTTTTCGAAAGGAAATATGATTATGTTGGCGTTGCTTATGTTGGATTTCATGGGAAGTGATTTTCTTTGGTGGCATATTCCTTTTCGGGCAAGAAAAGAAAACCATCCCAACTCCCAAATGAATCTTTTGCCTTGTTGCTTACATTCTGAAGGTGTCTCTTGTGTGAATATATTGCTACCTATCAATTTTTCAGTTATGTTTAGTTGTTCCGGGAAACAACATGATAAAACTGTTTGTGTTGCCAATATAGTCCCATGTTCATGTTGCCGATGTCCATATATAAATTAAAAAGAAGATTCAAAAGTTCTAAGTACTGAAAATTAGAAACATGCGTTGAAATAATATATATCTACTAAGTAACGTAAGACTAGAGCATTCAAGTATGAGCACAAAAGTCCTGAGTAGAATCAAGATGAGTGGAATTTGTATGGCTACGAATTTGTGTGTGATTAAAGTCCTGTTGTACTCTGCTGTCTTTGCTTCTAATAGGTTTTTATACATATCTGCTCTTGGCTTAAGTATAGATAGGTTAGTGATATGTCTTATGCCCCTCTCCTTGTTGCAGTACTCTGGCCCAGAAGCTGCTGACATTCTCACGATTATCTGTTTGTATTGACTTTCTGTGATTGCTTCTCAGGTTTGGCAGAAGTTCTTGTAAAAGATGCTATTGCTGGGGTATTTCTTGATCCTCTCATCTGGGTTTATACGGCTTATAGGGTGCAACGTGAATTATACATGTTTCTCATCCAACAATTTGATAATGATCCAAGATTATTTACTAGTCTCTGCCGGCTCCCACACGTGATTGATATCGTACGCCAATACTATTGGGATGTCAAATCAAGATTTTCCATGGGAAGCAAGCCCCTTTTGCATCCTGTTACTAAGGAGATCGTTGGAGAGAGACCTACTCAAGACGAAATACACAAAATTCGTCTTCTTTTGTTAAGTCTTGGTGAGATGAGTCTTAGGTATGGTCTTCAGTTGCCTGTGCTGAATCAGCGTCTTCTATCTCTAAATGCCACATATAATTCAATATATTCCGTCTTCCATCTATAATTGTTACATCTTGTTGTGCAGTCGTCATTGATATGATGTATCTGGTGGATGTGCAGGCAAAGCATTACGGCAGCAGATGTTAAAGCTCTTGTAGCTTTTTTTGAGAGTAGTCAAGACATGGCGTGCATTGAGGATGTTTTGCATATGGTGATTCGTGCTATTTCTCAGAAACCACTGCTTGCTTCCTTTCTCGACCAAGTGAATGTGATTGGTGGCTGTCACATTTTTGTGAATCTTCTTAAAAGGTATGTCTACCTTTATTATAGGATTTGAACTTATAATTCTTAGTCAGTTTTCTGCTTACAACTTGATTATTGTAATTTTCTTTTGGGGTTGGAAGTTAATTTGTCTCTTCTATTTTACTTGTCTTGACATAAGAATAGTGATAATTTTGTAGGTTTTTATTGTTGTCCTGCTTATGAGCAAAAGTAGCTTGATATGGGTTTAATAAAGTGAAATGATGGTGTGAGACGCTTTTCACTTTCTGTATGGTTATTCTGACCTTGATTATGCTGTAGTTGAATGAATGACGTTACAGATGGTGCCAACCTGAGTTGGTTTACTCTCTTGAAAATGGCTTGGTGCACCTGTTCTTTACATAAGGATGGAGCCATTTTGCTGGATTCCTTTTAACATAAAAGGAAGACGTTTACTGGATCTTCCGGTTACTATCGTATCTCCTATTGTTATTTAATATATTTGTAAAAGGTTCGGTAGCCTCTAACAAGTATAATCAATTTAACTAATTGTGTACATGAAGGTCTACAATTACTTTGGAAACTCTGCTGACATTTTCTGAAGCTACAAGTTTCTTTTTCTTTTATCATATGCCTGATGCTACAAGTGTGTCTTTGATAAGAAAATTAGAACTTTTGAAGCGTGGATGGCCTAGTGGTGCAAACTCATATATTATCTTCAAGCTACTAAATGTGGGATTTATGGAATAGTACTTTTGGCATCTTTCTTGTGTAAGGAAATAAAATTTTTATATAAGGAAAATCAGAGTCCTTTGTACTATGACAGTACATGGCAGTTATAGAATAATGTTACCATCCCCTCATAGAAGCTGCTGTTGATTATTTTATATACCAATTTGTAGTGCTCAATGGACCTTAAATACTTGCAAAGGCTAACGAATCTTGTAAAAGATAGTTTGAACCCAGGTAGTTACTTATATTGTAGGGCGGAGTCAGCATACCGAGTAAAGAGATTGCAAAATGTTTTCAAGAGGCATAATTACAGTAGCTAAAATGAATGATATCGAAGAGAAGGGGAGGAGATCAAGAATCACTGGTCTTCCTTCCCAAAGCTGAAGTTAGAGAATGTTAATGGGGTGCAAATGCAAGTTATGCTCTGTGATTGATATTCAATTCTATATGTCTATGTACAGGAACTTATTCAGCCTTATGTGTATGATTTCATAATACTGCTTTCTTATTGACAAAATTCGGAATCCTGCCTCAAATATAGTCATGGAGGAAATTTTGTATAAAGTATTTGCCTTGAGGAAACTGATATATATGATTTCATGTTAAAAAAAACAGGTTTCGTGCTTGGTAATGTTTAATCATATTTGAATGATAAAATAATTAAACCGAATAACGTACGAGATTTTTCATGCTAAGAAGTAATATATGACAAGTCAATAATTGTTGCATATTCGCTCAATTGTCGTTTGGGAAGGTTAAGTTTGGTGAAATGTCCTCCCTATCGTTATGTCTCTGAGCCTCAAGAAATAAATCTTTATGATAAAACTTTGAAGGTCGTTCAAAATAAACACTCTGACCTTGGACTAGAATGTTTGATGCTGAAATTTCTGCTAATCACTGGGCAATTTATTCTCTCAGCTTCTCTTGTTGTTCCTTGGCTTCGTTTTGAGTCATGACAGCTGAGAAGAGAGAAATTACCTGAAACAACTGCAGTGACAAATTTGCAATTCAACTTGCAATATTAGTGAGTTCAATGAGTCTAGTCTCAACCAATTCCATTGAATCCCAGAATAAGTTAGATTTGATTCCCATAGCCTAACTGATTTCATGTTTCAGATCAAGATATTGATGCCTAGTGCTACTGTGCAATTGTTGTCTTGAAACTTAATTTGGGCATTGGAAATTGCAGTAATTTGAGAATGTGCACTGCAGCTTATGTGAAAAGGTTGGCGTTCCTCTCATAGTATTGAGAGCTTCATAGAAAACCTTGGAATGATATTGAGGATGAAGTGTCAACATGTGAATCAGTTTCATCACGGGCTTTGATTGATTATTAACATTAAGGAAAGTTGTTATTTGTTTTTCGCCAAGAAATTTCAGCTTCAAGAATGTGACTTGGGAGCATATATCTGTTCGTGGAATGGAGATGCACATGATAAGCTGTTGCGTTGTTATAAAATCTTGGTTCTTGTATTATTCTGACTGCTGAGAGTAAACTGAGCGGAAGTATGCTAAACCTTGACCATCTTGTTGGCCTTCATTTCTTGTTTGTTCTACCAATTTGTTGTAGGGACTTTGAGCCTATCAGATTACTCGGCTTGCAGTTTATCGGAAGACTGTTGGTTGGAATACCATCTGAGAAGAAAGGAGCAAGATTTTTTGGTCTAGGTGTCGGAAGATCTAGATCACTTTCTGAAAGTTGTAGAAATAACAGTACAAGGATGCAACCAATTTTCTCAGCTATATCTGAAAGAATCTTTAAATTCCCGCAGACAGATAATTTATGTGCTACTTTGTTCGACGTCCTTCTTGGTGGTGCTAGCCCAAAGCAGGTTATCAGCAATTCACAAACTTTTTCTTCAATTTTGCTAATACATTTCGTGTCATATTTCCTTATGCTTTATCGGGTATAATGAGACTCTTAAAGTGCTCTGGATAATTTTTGACTTTTATTATCTGTTTGTGACATTGACAGGTGCTACAGAAACACTACCAGATTGAGAAGCAGCGAACAAAGGGTAATGGCTCTCATTTTTTTCTTCCACAGGTATTAGTACTCATTTTCAAATTCTTGTTGGGCTGCAATGATGCGTCTGTAAGAATGAAAATCCTCAGAGATCTCACTGATCTGCTCGATTCAAATCCATCAAATATTGAAGCTCTAATGGTACTTCTGAACCACGCCTATAATTTGATTTCCTCGTTTAATCTTCCGATTAATCCGCCTCTACTTATTTGTGTTTTTGGGTAGGAACATGGATGGAATGCGTGGTTATCTGCTTCTGTTAAGCTTGACTTTATGAAAAACTACGGAGTAGAGTCCCTTGGAGATGGTGAAGGAGAAAGAAGTGAACAAAGTCTTGTGAGGAACTTATTTTGTGTAGTTCTTGCTCACCATATTCATTCTGTTAAAGGGGGCTGGCAACAGTTAGAAGACACAGTGAATTTTCTGCTAATGCATTCAGAGCAAGTATGCATTACCACCGATAATTTTGCGGATAGTTTCTCTATCTTTTTTGTTACTCTGTTTTATTTACTTTGATTCATTGTATTCTTCCAGGATGGCATGCCGCATCACAACTTACTACATGATATATTTCATGACTTAGTTCAAAAGCTGGTGGATTTATCATCCGAGGAGAATATGTTTGTTTTCCAACCATGTCGAGACAATACACTGTATCTGCTTAAACTGGTTGATGAGATGCTTATATCAGAACTGGACAACAAACTTCCGGTATGCAAAGTGTTGAAGTCTGCTTTCTGCTTGTCACTTCCGGTAAAGAATAAGAGCTTCATCTTTGAGGGAAAAAAGCAAGAATAGAAATTGTGGTGATCATGGGGTTACTCTGGTTATTGCTCTTGAAAGAATGAATGTGAAATCTTCCGTTCTTTGGACACCATGCTGATCGAATGACTGGAGTATTTCTACTGTATGGCACTTGTTGTCCACTTTTTCCATGATTTTCTCTGTGTCTAAATATTCTCCAAAGGTTAATTCTTTCTTATGTGTGTATTCAAAAGGCAGCTAAATTGTGGTCAAACACACTTCTCTTCAAAATAAAATGTCTCTAAGTATGTCTATATGTACGAGTTACATGTGTTGGTGCTTTGCAAGTACCTCATTAGATTCCTATGCATCATGTGTCTCGCAATGGCAACAGTATATGGACATGTTAAGAACAACTCATGTTAAATGAGAACATCAGATAGAGCATGACAGACTGTTTTGTGTTGTTTTTCTTGCAGTTTCCTGCTAGTAGCTCCGATTTTACCTTGGTTTCCTTAGATTTAGACAGTCACAAAGAATTTAGTAATGCCCTGCAAGAGGTTCTACGAGGAGCATCCGATGAACAACCATCAAGGTGAGGTGATTTCGTGCTTTGTATCCATGGGGAGCAGTCACCTTTTCATTTGCTTTTACATTCCTTGAGAGTCATGCTTTTGGTGGTATTGGTGGTTATAGCTGGGGATAGTTTATCTTTATGTGTCTTGAAATTAATTGTCGCAGTACTTGAGCCATGCTTTTTCTACATCTATGTCTTTAAACTAACGGATGCTAGTAATGATGTGAGGGTTAAGGAGCGTCAGTGAACTCTTGTGGACTGGAAAGACATGGAATGCAAGGCAGTGGTTGCCATCTGTTGTGGGTTTCTGAAATTGCTTTTGTGCCATTGAGAATGCAATTCATGACTTTTAGGCATCTAGGATCTTTCAACAAATCCAATTGGTACTTTTAGAGCACATTTAGTTGGTGGTATAATTTGCCAGAATCGATCAGCTTTTGTTTCTAGCCTTAGTTTGTATTCTGCTTTGCAATGGCTCATCAAATTTGTACAACTGAATAAGTTGGATACATCCTTGAACAGGAAAGAGACATATCTGTCTGTCAGAAGAAAAAGAAATTTAAGACTGTTCCTTAATTTTCTTTTTGGCTGTAAGATGGTTACTTAAATTGACAGGTGATGTTTTGCTTTCACAGTTTAATTTTAATTTCTCGTTTTATCTCCAGAAATCCACGATTTGGCAAGCAGCCATCTGCAAAAGAAGATAACATAGATGGGGATAGGTGGTGGAATCTGTATGACAACTTGTGGATATTGATCAGTGAGATAAATGGCAAAGGACCAAGTAAAATGTTGCCCAAGTCATCATCCTCAGTTGGTCCATCTTTTGGCCAAAGAGCTCGGGGCTTGGTTGAATCATTGAACATTCCTGCTGCAGAAATGGCTGCTGTTGTTGTATCGGGAGGGATTGGAAATGCTTTGGGTGGAAAACCTTCTAAATCAGTTGATAGGGCAATGCTTTTGAGAGGGGAGAAGGGCCCAAGAATTGTCTTTCGACTTGTGATTCTGTATCTGTGCAGGTCTTCTCTTGAAAGGGCTTCACGTTGTGTACAACTATTCGTTTCACTCTTGCCTTGTCTTATGGTTTCTGATGATGAGCAGAGCAAGACGAGACTGCAACTTTTCATCTGGTACTTTGCTTTATACATCCCAAAAGGATTCTAGTTTTCAGATGCTGTCATCTGTTATCAGCAAATTTCCTTAAAACTTTGTTTATTCGTTATAATGTTTCTCCATATTCTGAGTATATTGCTTTTGTTTTATGGTTGCCAGGGCTTTGCTCTCTGTCAGGTCCCGCTATGGTATGTTGGATGATGGCGCTCGTTTTCATGTTATATCACATGTGATTCGAGAAACAGTTAACTGTGGGAAATCCATGCTTGCTACAAGCATTGCTGGCAGAGATGATCCATCAAATTCAGGAAGCATTTCAAAAGAAATGAGCACTATACAGAATCTAATCCAGAAGGATAGAGTGCTTGCAGCCGTGAGTGTTACTGAATTTTAAGTGCTTCACTGCATTATTGAGGATTGTTTTGGTGCTATAGTTGCTTGCATTATTTCCCTGCCTTTTATAGGCTTATGTTATGATGGGGTTTTTTTTTTATCCCAGACTAGAAAGAATTGGTATGGTTTTATGGTGACTCTTCAACTTAGTCAACCAACTGGTTGGACCTCCAGATCTATATATGCTAAGGTCAAAAATATCTAAAGCATTTGTCACCAGTGTTAGCATATACATCCAAGAACCCTACCGTAGAGGTGGCAATCTCTGACTCAACTCGAGGACCCCACCCAATCTACCCAAAATGTGACTAGAGCCAACCTCAGATTGCTAAATAACCCAATATAATTTAAATCCGTGACAAAATCTAAATATTAAATAATCATAGAGCGACCTAAAATTCAACCTGAAAATAACCAAGTCTAGTATCACCCTGAGCCCAAAAAAACATGTACCTGATGCAACATGACATGTCATGGTATTTTATGATGACCTGGATGAACTTGAAACTGAAGAAATATTGAAATGGAATTATTTGAAACCCGAGCAGACCTGGAATTGAGCACTATGAGAATCGGACTTGACCTGTTTCTGAAGAAAGTGAATCTTGAGATGATGAGAGAACTGATTAACCTGCATCCAGACTGGATATGTACCTGAGAAGATAGAACCTGAAATGACCCAAACAAGAAACTGTTTGAATCGTACTCGTGCATCTGTCAACTGTAACCCTGCATGTCTGTATACTAGTGTTCTCCTTCCAATCCCTTGTTTGAATCTTCCACATCCTTTCCATTTAGTTTTATCTGAAGCAGAATATGGGCTGGGCATTTACCATACCATGCCCATGACAAACCCCACCTAATATCTCCAGAGTAATTCAAGACCTAGTGCATTCTCTAGTGTGTTGCCAAAAGTCTGCTTGAAATCACTGTCATACCTTCAAATCAGGTTATTTAGATCAGATGCACCATTTTACCAGTTCAAACCAGGTTTTGACCAAAATCTATTCATGCTAACCAGATGGACTCGGACTGATAACCCGTAGGACCAACTGGTCCTGTCCAGGTTTGAAAAGACTGCTTATAATGTTGTCAGTCAATTTTGCCGTAATGTTTTTGTGCAGTTGCTTGCTACATAGATGTCCTGTTAATGGCTAACTCATGAAATGCATGACATATGTAGCATGAGATCGGACGACACAATGGCATGATATCTGCTTGCTGCATTTGGAGAAACCATTTTGTGTGTGCATACCCCTTGTGAAGTTTGCTTGAGATGTTCTTGAAGAGTGCAATATCTTGCAGCCTGTGTTTTATGTTTAAATAGGACATTAAAGGATAAAAAATAACATGCATATTTGCTCATTGTGAAATTTGTTGAGTTGTTGACCTTTCTAGGTTGCTGACGAGGCAAAATATATGAAGGCTCTAAAAACAGATCGTAGCCGGCAATTGCATGAGCTCTGTAGTAGGCTCGAGGAGATATCCTCTGCAGAACTTAGCAGCAGTAGAACTTTTGAAGATGAGATTCAAAGCAGCTTTAATAACATTAATGCTTCTGATGACAGCAGAAAAGCTGCTTTCCAGCTGTGTTATGAGGAGCAGCAGCAAAATGTCGCTGTATGTGGACAATGGACATCAATTATGTCTTTTCCTGTTCCTTTATCTCTTTCCATTTCCAGATGCTAATGTATATAATCATCTATCTAATGCTTCAACAGGAGAAGTGGATGCATCTGTTCCGCATTTTGATTGATGAGAGAGGTCCATGGTCTGCTAATGCTTTTCCAAATAGTGCTGTGAGGCATTGGAAACTTGACAAAACAGAGGATAGATGGCGACGGAGACAAAAACTAAGGCAGAATTATCATTTTGATGAGAAACTGTGTTATCCTCCATCTATTGTGCCTCAAGAAGAAACTACTCTTCCCATAAATGAAAGCAAATATGGTTTTGCGGGACATATTCCTGAGCAAATGAAGCGCTTTTTGCTGAAAGGTGTGCGCAAAATTACTGATGAAGCAAGTGCAGAACCAAATGAAAATGAGGATGAAGTGTGTGTGCAGAATATCTCTGCACCAGAGGATTCTCCGGAGGCTCAACGTGATGTAATCGTAAAAGATAGTAACGATCACAAGGATATTTCTCAGGATAGAGTAGATTCTTCTGCCTCCTCTCCTGAAGCCGAAATTAGTGATGAGGTATGTTAAGTTTAACTTGGCAAGCACAAAAGTTTGGTGGAAGCACATAACAGTTTTCCTCATTTTAGATCCTTATTTTCAGGTTCTGATTTCGGCTCCATGTGTACTTGTGACACCAAAGAGAAAACTTGCGGGGCGTTTGGCTGTAATGAAAACCGCTCTGCATTTTTTTGGGGAATATTTGGTGGAAGGTACTGGTGGATCTTCTGCTTTTAAGGATTTTCAGCAGCCAAGTAACTCCGATTTGTCTAAGTTTGATCAAAAGCAGAGGTTTTCAAAATGGCCCCCTCATAATTATTTGGAGTCTGATAAAGGGAGCTCTTTTAATGGCTTAGAGTTGCTTAGCGAAAATGTGCATCAGAGACATTTGAAAAATCTTAAGCGCCATCGAAGATGGAGCATCGGGAAGGTTAGATGGTTATAGATAATTACATGTTTGCTTTTGATTCTATATTTTAATTGGATCTGATTGTGTTGCCCCTCTTCTCTCTTTCTAGATTAAAGCTGTGCATTGGACTCGTTATCTGCTCAGATACACTGCTACAGAGATTTTCTTCATTGATTCAAGTGCCCCTATATTCTTAAACTTTGCCTCACAAAAAGATGCAAAAGACATAGGAACCTTGATAGTCACAACCAGAAATGAATTTTTGTTCCCAAAAGGAAGCAGTAAGGATAAGCATGGGGTCATATCATTTGTTGATAGACGGGTAGCTTTGGAAATGGCTGACGCTGCTCGAGAGAAGTGGAGGAGAAGGGAAATTAATAACTTTGAGTATCTAATGATACTCAACACCCTCTCTGGAAGATCTTACAATGATATAACACAGTACCCTGTCTTCCCTTGGGTATTGGCTGATTATTCTTCTGAGGTTCTTGATTTTAACAAGTCGTCAACTTTTCGGGATCTTTCAAAACCTGTTGGAGCTTTGGACTCGAAGCGATTTGAGGTTAGTTTTTGTCTCTGTTGGAATGTTACACTTGTCAGTAGACTAATCTATTAGACCCCCTTTCAACTTCATGGTTCGTCTCATACAGGTGTTTGAAGATAGATATCGTAACTTTTGCGATCCAGACATACCTAGGTACTATCCGAGCCAAACTACTTTATTGAACTGCTAAGGTTACACTCTAATCGATCTGTCATGTGCCTATCAGTTTCTATTATGGGTCTCATTACTCAAGCATGGGGATTGTGCTTTATTACCTCCTGAGACTAGAGCCTTTTACGACTCTTCACCGTAATCTGCAGGTATGCTCGTGACAATCCTTGACTGACTTCGCAACGGACTGTTATATTTTGTACTACTGACGCAGTCTTCTTGTTTGCATGCTAAAATGTCATATATGTAGCTCTTTTATAGGGTGGCAATTATTATAATTTCTTTTTCCTAGTGGTGTTGCAATATATCTATAAGTAAATTTTGTCGATCTTACAGTGCTGAACTATATTTAACTGATAATGAAATTTAAATCCTTAAAATTTTCTATCACATTTCAAGAACTATCACGGTACTTCCTAGGGATTAGTGTACCTATGGATAAATAGTTGTAGAGTGAGATATTGACATAATTTGAAAAAGCAAGGAGCAATCGCTCCAAAACCCTAGTTAAATTCCAAATAAGGGCCTGAAATGCCCTCATTTTCTCAAATAAGGACCCGAAGTGGACTTTGTGTCAGATAAGGGTCTGAAGTGGCATGTGAGTCTCACATAAGGGCCTGAAGTGGCCATGAGAGTCCCAAATAAGGACTTGACCTTGCCGGCCGATCAAGGGTATTTTCGTCAAAAAACCATTTTAATTTTAAATTATTTTTATTAATTTTTTTTTCCTTTTTCTAGTTTTCTCTTTGTTCTTCACTCCGGCCACCGGCGAAGCCCGGGAAGGGCTGCGCGAGGGCGACCCTCGCCGGCAACAGGCGAGGGACGGCCTCGCCCATGGCCGGCGAGGCCGTCCCTCGCTGGTTGCTGGCGAGGCGACCCTCGCCCAGATCCGGCGAGGCGACCCTCGCCCAGATCCGGCGAGGCCGGCCTCACCCAGGGCCGGCGAGGCCGACCCTTGCCTAGATCTGGCGACGGCCAGCCTTGCCCAATGCGAGGGTCGCCTCGCCTGTTGCCGGTGAGGGTGGCCCTCGCCAGATCGTGCTGAGCGAGGGTCGCCCAGCCCTTCCCGGGCTTCGCGGGTGGCCGGCCGGCCACCGGCCACCGGCGAAGAACAAAAAGAAAACCAGAAAAGAAAGAAAAAAGGAAAAGGAAGGAAAAAAATTAAAAAAAGTAAGAAAATTTTTAAAAAAAGTAAAGATGAAAATACCCTGACCATCCAATAAGCTAGGCCCTTTTTTGAAACAGATATAGCCACTTCCAAAATCCACTTCAAATCCTTATTTGAGAAAATGAGAGCACTTCAGACCCTTATTTGGCACAAAGTCCATTTCAGGCCCTTATTTGAGAAAATGAGGACACTTCAGGCCCTTATTTGGAATTTTCCCTATATATATAGAGAGAGAGAGAGAGAGAGAGAGAGAGAGAGAGAGAGAGAGAGAGAGAGAGAGAAGAAAATGAAATATGCTTGGAGTTCCTGTGAAATTGAGATGATTTTTGTCTAACTGTTATGAGTGTTTGTCAGATGTGAATGATACTATTCTTGTGAAATGGTCAATGCTTGTTTTCATTGTTTCCCTTTTTGGATATTGATGGGCTCATTTTATTATCAAGATACGAAAGAAGAAATTATTACAAGTTAGAATGCTGTGTATCTAAAAGCCTGCGATTTGCATAATAGCAGAGTCAAGAATCGTAAATTATGATTGATTATGTAATTCTCTATCTTTGAACATAAAATAACGTCTATGGCTCTTATAATTGCTTCCATACCCCAAGCTCTAGTAGTCATGTGGTTATTCCTGCTTTTCCTTGATATTGCACATGCCATAGCACAAAAAGTTCTATAATATATTCGTCTGGATCAGGGTGGGAAGTTTGACCATGCAGATCGACTTTTTCAAAGTGTTGAGGGAACGTATAGGAATTGCCTATCCAATACAAGTGATGTGAAAGAGCTAGTTCCAGAATTCTTTTACATGTCAGAATTCCTTATGAATTCAAACTCGTATCATCTTGGAGTCAAACAGGATGGTGAGCCTATTGGCAACGTCTGCCTTCCTCCTTGGGCCAAGGTATTTGAGTTTCTTCATAAAATGTTTTTTGGGGGATAAATTGCTCTTTTCTTCTCATGGTGTCCAAACAACTTTGTTAAGTTCGAGTCAAGCAGACCTATCCATAGGAGATATCATTGATTCCTCTCCTTCCTGCTTCATTACTGTGAGAGAGAGAGGGAGGGAGGGGGAGGGAGGGAGGGGAAGTGCTTGCTCAGTGAACAAGCTCTAAGAAGGTGAGTAAAGGGATCCAGAGAACTGCTTTCTTGGTCTCTTATTTAGATTTTGGCTGTAGTATCTTTAAATTCACCCAAATTTGTATAAAGTACTTGCTCAGCGAACAAGCTCTAAGAAGGCGGGAAGAGAGAGATCCATCCAAGGGCTTTCTTTGTCTCTCATTTAGATTTTGGCGGTAGTATCTTCAAATTTACGCAAATTTTTAGAAATGTAAGTAAGTTATGGCATCTGCTGTCACACTCCTTTTTAGGAGAACTAAAATTAAAAGCTGAAAACTAGAGAAATTCAGTGAAAATTGAACTGGCAAAAGAAAACGGAAACCTTAAACCAAACGGGCCTCATATGTCATCTTTTAAGTTTTGTAATAATGTTTGCAAACACTGTTGCAATTGCCATTGTAGAGTGAGTTCCTTCTTTACAGAATGAGAACTGTGCAAAGGACTAAAAGTTGTTTTCCAATTAATTTCTTATTGGTAGAAGAAAAGACAATATAGGGCACCAAGGGTTTGCAAATCATATACAGAAAGGGAGAAATTATCTACAACATTGATTGAAGTATTTGCATCCACACATAACTTTTTGCTATAACTAAAGCGTAATGAATTCAACTAACTCTCAATAGTTACTGAACTGGTGTCTCCTCTCCAATGAATGCTCTCTTAGTCTGCTCTGTCCAAAATCAACCGAAAAAACAGCCAGAGGGACTGAGAAATCTTTATTTTCTTAACACGAGGCAAAAGAAGACCTTGCCAAAGTAATAATTCTTGTTCAGTTCTCCTATAACCCAAGATAGCCTAGTGCAGGCATAAGAGGCCACCAAAATCATTCTTCTCCATGGATAGTGAAGGAGGAGATGTCTCACAGTCTCTGCCTCTCTTTTGCTAAAAAACGGAAAAAAAATCTATTTACTAGCACAATCCCTCTTTCCAGCAAATTGTCTAAGGTGAGATTATGTTCCCAAGATGCGTCCCAAGCAAATAATGGAACTATAGTTGGCACTCTCACTTTCTAAGGAAAAAGCCTCTGTGCCACCAATAATCTTCTTTTCTAGCAACCTATAATAAGACTACAGAAAAAGTTCCATCTCTACCGTTTTTCCAAGACGAAGTTCCACAGAAGTGCGAGAAATCTTAGAATTGTACGACAAATCAAAGAGATTGACAAAATCTTAACATCCCAATCTTTGGCTTGTCTCGAAAAGTCGATCTCCTAAATGATTCTCCCTTTGGAGAAATGATAGCAATCTGGTACAAGATCCTCCTTGTTCCCAGCGATGTCATAGAGGTTAGGGAAACAATCTTTGAAAGATGTATTCCCACACAAAGTATCAAGCGGAAAGCGTATCCGCTTACCATTTCCCACAATAGAATTTGCATAAGGAATAAACTCACTCCACTCATCTCTAATCCGCCTCCAAGCACTGCTCCCATGAGCTATTACTCTGCTTTTATAAATCTAACCAGTTTACTCAATGCCAAATTTAGGACCGACTACTTTCTTCCAAAGATGATAATATTAAACGTTGAACTGCCATAGTCATTTGCCTAGAAGAGCCTTGTTGATTAATAAAAAAGACTTGTTGCCAAGACCACCATTACAAGAAAGGTTGCTCGACTGTTTTTTGATTTACCAAATGCAATCCACGTGACTCATCGTAATTGCGCACAAGAATCTATCTGAAGAGCTTCCAACCTTTTGGCAACTAAGCAAGGGATAGGTTTTGAGAGACATGAGAGAGATAGGAAGATTGGAGAGAGTGCTTTTGATGACAGTCAATCTTCCTCCTTTTAAAAGTAAAGATCTTCTCCAACCCTGCAACTGCTTCTCAAGTTTCTCTATAATAGGTTCCCAAATTTGCTTATCTTTGAAATTAGCTGCCGCAGGAACGACTTAATAGGTTAAGAGTAAAGAACCGATCTGACATCCCAAAATAGAAGAAAGCAAAGCACGGTTCAGTCCATCATCAGCGGGATAAGCTCAGTCTTACTCAAGTTTATCTAAAGCCCGTATACCACTTCAAATTATAAAGGAATGCACCATATAGAAAAAGTAACTGTTGGACGTCATCTCCATAGAAAATGATAGTATCATCTGTAAAGAGAATATGAGAAATAGTCAATCCCTCACCATGGCTAGCCACTCTGAAGCTAGAAATCCAGCCCAACTCTGTCGCCTTGCTTGACATTTTTCGTAGGACCTCTATCACCAGAATAACAAGCAGAGGGGAGAGTGGATCACCCTGCTGAAGTACTTGAGACGATTGGAAAAATCCTGTTGAAGAGCCCCATTAATCAAGACCGAGAAACTCGGAGTTGTGATACATCTCTTTATCCAATGTGTAGGCCAAAACCAGAGAACTCTTCTCTGTGTTTTTTGCTGAAAGGAGTGTCTGAAAACATTTGCCAATTTGAGTGGGTTTTTTTTTAGTCTATTGAAAACAGAGTTTCTGGGAATTTTTTGAAACCAAACAGGACCTTAGACTTTACTCATTTTTTGTACTTTTCTTTCTTTTTTCATGTCCTATACATTTCTGGATAAAGAATGCCATCACCAGCTACGATTCTTGCATTTAGACATACTATTTCATTTAACTTTTGTGTAGAATGCTTGGCATGCTCCCTCTCTCCAACAGGCTTAATCACATACTGACCTTTTTTTCCCCTTCAAATGATTTTGTCTTCATGTTCGTCAGAGAAAATGAACTGAATGTTAAATGTTTTATGAGCACAACCAGAAATTATTAAGGCATTTATTGATCTATTAATTTTGGTAGTAATATGCAGTTCTTTATTAATGTTCAGGGATCGCCTGAAGAATTTGTCAATAAAAATCGAGAGGCCCTTGAAAGTGAATATGTTAGCTCAAATCTTCATCACTGGATTGATCTGGTGTTTGGTTACAAGCAACGTGGGAAACCGGCTGTAGAGGTAAACGTAGAATTATTCTCGATTTTGTGCAGTGAACCACTTAGCATTTATTGATATCTGGGAGTGTAATAACAAATACAGGCAGCAAATATTTTCTACTATCTAACTTATGAGGGAGCTGTCGATTTGGACTCCATGGAGGATGACTTACAAAGAGCAGCGATTGAGGACCAGATTGCTAATTTTGGTCAGACACCTATCCAGATTTTCCGCAAGAAACATCCTAGACGAGGCCCACCAATTCCAATCGCTCATCCTTTATATTTTGCACCTAGTTCTATTAATCTGACTTATGTTCTATCTAGTATTATTGATCCTCCATCGGCTGTATTGTATGTTGGCCAACTGGACTCCAACATTGTCTTGGTGAATCAAGGGCTCATCCTGTCAGTCAAGATGTGGTTAACGACGCAATTGCAATCTGGTGGCAATTTTACCTTTTCCAGCTCGCAGGTATTGCATATATTTCTTTACTAGATCAACTGCAATTCAACCTTTAATCCTTTATTTTGTTGGAAGATGCTTTTATTTAAGTACAGCTTGTGAAACTTCTGCAGGAGCCATTCTTTGGAGTTGGAGCTGATATTCTTTCTCCACGGAAAATAGGGAGTCCTTTGTCTGAAACTTGTGAATTTGGAGCACAGTACTTTGCGACATTGCAAACACCTACGGAGAATTTTCTTATCTCATGTGGCAATTGGGAGAATAGCTTTCAAGTTATCTCCTTAACTGATGGGAGATTGGTGCAGAACATCAGACATCATAAGGATGTGGTTAGTTGTGTTGCAGGTATTTATCAGGTCAATGTTCAATTGTCCTTGTGAAGATATGGGTTGTACATTAACGACGATTATACTTTTCTGGAAAAAATCTCATTATGATATCTTACTGTGTGAAGTGGGTGATGTGGTGTTGATTAATGCATTTTTTATCTGTACTTTACGAGAAGGCTTTGTTAAGTTAAATACAGAGCGTTTTAGGGGGATTTTAATCTCACAGTTGCTGGTCTTTTCTGTCAAAGTTAATCGCTCCTCAGAAGTCTCACTGTGATTTCTTACTACCTTGTAGATTCCATTACTGCCTTATGTTTTCCTTTTCTTTTTTTTTCTTTCTTGGGTTTTGGGGGGGTGGGGGTGGTGCTGCAGAAAGTTAGTCAGTCACAGGCTACGACAAGTTCGGGAGAAATTAAAGCTTGACGGGCTGGTATTCTAAGGGCTGTGTCCTGTGTACTTTTTAAACTGTTAAGTGATGTGTCATATGGTTGGCTTATTTCCTAAAAGCTTACACTTGGGGAAATAATTAGTCTAACATGGTATAGGTCATAAGTTTGCATTCTAACAAGCCCTCTCTTCTTTCTCCTACTTGTTATTCGTTATTCTGCCATTTTTCCGGCCTCATGTTGTCTTTTTAATGTGATTACATCCAAAAGGCTATTGGATCATATATTTCCTTTGAGATCTATACAAGTTTTACATTATTATTCATGAATGTGATTAAGATACCTTTTTCTTTGTACTGTTTGTGCTGTGTTCCCTTAAACTTTTTTTATTAGGAATGCTACTATCATCGATATGAGATACACATGACTAGAATGATTTGAGAAAAGACGTTGCTATACTTGTTCTCATTAAGTTGCCGGTATTATTGTGGCATGTAATGGTGGATGAAACTGCATAATCACTTTACAAATTATCTCTTCCATTCTGCTGCAGTGGCATCTGATGGAAGTGTCCTTGCTACTGGAAGTTATGATACCACGGTAATGGTGTGGGAAGTTTATCGTGTCAAAACTCCAGAAAAAAGACTTAGGAACTTGCAAACTGAGATTCACCGGAAAGATTATGTTGTTGCTGAAACTCCTTTCCACATTCTTTGTGGCCATGATGATATAATTACATGCTTGTATATCAGCATGGAACTTGATATAGTTATCAGTGGGTCCAAAGATGGAACCTGTATCTTCCATACCTTGAGGGAAGGGAGATATGTTAGATCTTTGCGCCATCCTTCAGGCAATGCTTTGTCAAAGCTGGTTGCCTCGCGGCATGGACGGATCGTGCTTTATGCTGATGATGATCTCAGTTTGCATCTCTACTCGATCAATGGTAAACACCTTGCTTCTTCTGAGTCCAACGGACGTCTCAATTCTGTTGAATTGAGCAGTTGTGGCGAGTTTTTAGTATGCAGTGGTGACCAAGGTCAGATAGTTGTACGGTCTATGAACACACTGGAGGTTGTTCAAAGATACAATGGAGTTGGAAAGATAATAACTTCTCTAGTAGTGACTCCTGAAGAATGCTTCTTAGCTGGGACTAAAGATGGAAGCCTTCTTGTGTATTCTATTGACAATCCTCAACTTCGTAAATCTAGCCATCCACGAAATGCGAAGTCCAAATCAGCTTCATCGGGATAGATGTATATATTAGAGTGCAAGTCATGGACTAACTGTTGCTGGTATTCTTGTGAATGGAGGTAGGTTGCTGCTGAGGATACCTTGTTTAGCTTGTCATTTTTAAATCTCTTGGTTTCTTATCTTTTTTCATTTCCTTATTCTGCATATCTTGCTATTGCTCATATTCTGTTACGTTGAACAAGGATAAATATATTTTTTCATTTAAAATTTTATATGCTGAGATTTTTTTTTAGATAATTTGAGCTCAGACGGTATCGGTGACTATTGACTGGTAGCGATTGTAACATGTTGAGTCCAATGCATATTACTACGAAGATGCAAATTCGTGACATTGCTCCTCTTCTAAATTGTTTCCAAGCTCTCTGACAGAGCTGTTGGCTTCCAAACCTCGTGTCTTTGTTGATGCTGCAGATTTGATGAAATTGATATGTTTCTTTCGTTGTTTGAGAATTACTAGGCATGAGAACCTATGATAAGCTACTAGTAATTATAAATGTTGAGTCGTATGGTTGTTTGGAGCTTCCAAATCATCTAATTTACTTATAATTGTGTTCTTTCCTTGGGAAAGTTTAGAGCACATGTTGAGGGCCATAACTTCATTCTAAAGGAAGAACTTCCCATTCTAAGAAAGTTTGGCTCCTTTTTAGTCAAATGGTTGATCTTGTGGTTTTTGGATCTTCCAAATCATCTAATTCAAACAACTAATCCTTTTCCAGTTAATTGGAGTCAGCTACATAGATTTATTCTATACCTTTGCACTCCGTTCTGTGCCTTATCCTCTTTAGTAAAAACCAATTCTCAGAGTATCAGCCCATGTCTTTTGCCTCTTACCTTGCCCCTTTGCCCTGCATCTCCATTGTAACATCAAATCTTCCCACTGAGACTTATGCTCAATTCCGTCTTCACATATCCAGATCACCTTAAATAAGTCTCTCATCTTATGCTCAATTGCAGTGACACCAAATTTTCCTTCAATGCATTAACTTCTGTCTCTTCTATAGTATCAATGCATTCAATGGATATTTGACATTGCTGTTGTCATGACAACCTATTATTTATATTTAGCAGTAAATTGAGGCTAGAAATCCTCTTATATTCATTCACTCTGTCCCCTTGCTCTCTTTTCCCCAAAAAGGTGAGGGCACAAATGAAGAATAAAACAGCCATCAAGCGCGATGAATAAAATGATTGAGATTTTTAAGAACTTTCCTTCAGTGGTACTGCTGATGGATCAAACTCAACACTGAAATATGGTCTCGAGTAATAGGAATGTGACATTGAATAGCTTCTTCTAGCTTTCTGGAGTGAACATTTACTTTGAACATACTGGAGCTTCTATTCATGACATTTCGAAGCACTCTCTTATTTGATCATCAGCATAATCTCCTCACACATCTATTGGAAAAGACAACATTATATGGAATACCTTTGAAGGAAAAATGCGAATTTGATGGGTCAAAAAAGAGCAGATCTTCTCCCAGCGGTTATTTTGCTCTTGGCAGTGTTTATCTAAATTCTCTGTGTTTTGATGTCTTATGGTTTCTCTCCTATTTTTTTTTTTCGGTCGAAATAGTTTCTCTCCTATTTGACAGTCAAAATTTATACAAAATTATATTTTGCAGGAACTTTTAGACACATACGGGATGAGATAGGTAAAGGTAAAGGCTTGATGACCTCCAAACATTTACCCATGCTTGCGCAGTTTTGGACTTGCTCCGTGATACCCCTCTTCAACAAGTCCTCTATGGAACATGTGCACATTGAAATCTTCACGAAGGTGCAATGCTTTCGGTGACATTCTCTAGACATCAAATCCTTGTTACAGTGTATTTGTGCAATGCTTTCGGTGACCTTCTACTGGTACATTTGGAAAGCATTGGTGAGTAAATATGTGCAGAGTTCCACTCTCATGTATATCATCCTTCTTAAGAGCCTTATGTAGAACAAAGGAGAGGCAGTTGTATTGATAGAAACCGGGGCTCACATTCGTTTTTGGCCGACAGCCCCATATAGCTTGTATAGATCACCTACATTTGTAATTCCAAATAAATGAAGAAAAATGTTTTCTTCTTCAAAGATGATATGTTTTCCTCCTTGGTGAATAGTTGACAGACTTCAAGACCCTTTTTTTATTCTCAATTTTTGCCTTTTGTCTGCTTTATTGACGGACCACAGCTTAGAAGTAATAGGTTAGGTAAAAGCTTAACTGTATCTATCATATTCACATTTCTTGAGTTTATGTGATTATTCTAATTTGGTGCTGAAAGATCTGTGTGCGCGAAGTTGTATAGGATGAATGGTACTCTACTTATGTAAATACATGGGAACTTTATTGCCTGCAAATCTTGCACTTGCATTTTTGGTGGAGTTACTGCTGTCCATGATTGTGAACTGAACTCGTCGATAATGCTGCATATAAATAGTTATTGTGAAGAGAGATAATAATGGGTTTAGTTCTACGTTTTCCTTTTTTCAAGATTGGTTGTTAGTTCGTTATACACAATTTATGAGTTTCTGTTCATCTGTTCTTTGTAGTTTTGATCCATGTAGGATTGGTTGTTAGTTCGTTATACACAATTTATATGAGTTTCTGTATATCTGTTCTTTGTAGTTTTGATCCATGTAGTGCTTCACGTGGTTTTGAAGAACAAAGATGTTGTGGATATCATTCAGTGTACAGGTTGTGAGGCACGCACATGTTAAATTTTCCTTCACTGAAGCATGTTTATCTGGTGGGAGTGTGTGCGCACGAGTGAGCATGGTTGTCTACATATGTTTAGGGCTCTGCAATAAGATTGCAATATGGGAAAGTGAAGCCGACTGTTTTGAGTCTGCGTCCTAGTTAAGTATATAGACTAAAAACTCACTTTCTTTGGGTGGGTTTGTCTCACCGAACTGACAATACTGGAGGAAATTGGTTTTCATTTGTCTGTTGCTTTTAATTCTGCATTTGAGGGCACCAGAAGTAATATGTACTTTTATCGTCTTAGTGCAAGGATGTGACAGTATAAACTGCAAAATGTGGCATTGAATGTTTGGAAGGTTGACTCTGGAAGCTTATCAAAGGACCATTCTTTCGTAGAGATGACGGAAAATGCTTGCTGATGCGACTGATTTCATGTTTGCATGATGCCTCAGACTATTCTTTTTTCTTCTGCTCTACCAAGTAATGTATGAACTCGTCCATACAGCGCTGGTTGGTCTCTCCATCGCCAAATAATTTCTTCGCTTCCTTGGCTGAAGCTCTCAACGACGAGCCCAAGTCATCCACCATGGCAAACCTAAGTAGTTCGGCCACCGCGTCACTCGTGAACATCCCGTCTTCTTCTTTCCTAGCCACCCCAATCCCTAGTCCCCTACCCTGCAACAGCCTCGCATTAGGTCCTTGATCGGATGTCATCGGAAGCAGCATAAGAACCCGACCAAATGCTAAGCCCTCTATTATCGAGTTCCAGCCACAGTGAGTCATGAACCCTCCAACCGAGTAATGACTCAGTATCTTGACCTGTGGCGCCCAATCTGTGCACACTATGCCGTGACCCTCCACCCTTTGCAAAAACCCATCCGGCAGCATGTCGATCGCTTTCTGAGTTGACTCAGGCGGGTCTCTCAAGACCCAGAAGAAACTCAATCTGGATTTCTCCAACCCGAGTGCCAACTCATTTACTTCCTCGTGACTCAGAACGGCCTCAGTCCCTATTGCAACGTAAACCACCGAGTTAAACCTCTGCTCATCGAGCCACTCTTTTATGCTCGCCTATTTCATGTCATTAATATCTTCGTCGTCCCCCATGCATGGAGGTAAGAAACCAACAGAAAAAAGCGGTTTCTGATACAAATCCCGCAAGAGGTCAAGCCACTCAGGTTCAAACTCGATGCACGTCCTCACGGCCACGGCCTCACTGTCTCTTATTGTCGCTCCCAGACGCACTGTATCAGTTGTTTCCGAGCTGTACTCGCTCGAATGCTGGCTAAACCTGGTGATCTCATATGAACGGAAAAAAACGTCAGACTCAAAGGGAATCCACTCGGGGACGCGTAAAAAATCCTCCATCGTCTTTCGAGGGTCTGAGCCTCCTAGGAGGATTGTCGGCGGGCCAATTAAGCAAAGCACCGCAGCGTTGAAGAGGCCAAAGAAGCAGCGGTGAATGCCGAGCTCCGCCGCCGTGGAAGGAAGCCAGTGAGAAGAAAAGTCATAGATGATCCAATCTGGTTTTGAGGATTCAAGGAAACAAGTTACGGTCGGTTGTAACTTGTCAAAGGCCATTTTGAGGAGCTGTTGCTTGGAGAAGGAAGTGTCAGCGGAGGATTCTGCATGAGGTGTTAAGTTTGGTATGTGAGGGAAGGGGAGGGGTATGAGATTGATGAGCGAAGATAGGTTTTGGGGTATTTTGGGGAGCCTCTGGAGGTTTCTTGGTGTTGAGATGAAGGAGATCTTGTGACCCCTTTGAGCCAAGTGTTTGGAGAGCTGGAAGAAGGGGATGAGATGGCCCATGGCAAGCCATGGGAACATTGCTATGTGCAGAGATTCATGGCCCTGTTGAGCTTCACCTATCTCCTCCATGGAAGCTAATTTGAGAGAGAGAGAGAGAGAGAGAGAGAGAGAGAGCTAATTAGCTTCCTATGAGTTGGTTCTTCTCTAAGGGGACTAATTTATGAAGCATAATATAGGGAGAGTCCATGTGTGTTCATTAGGGTTACCAAGTAAATTAAAAAAATGTTATTTTGACCGATACACTTAAAAAAGCTTGCACGAAATTCAAACGACAACATTTGAAATGCACCGTTTTTTGTTTTGACTGATTGACTATATCATGTCCTGATAAAAACAGCCTTCTTGTTGCTTGCAACCACGACCATCTTGTGATGCATTCTTCAGCTCCCAAGATGCATATATGTTCAATCCAATATGTACTTCTTGATTGACAAATGATAGAAGTCATTTTCCAAACACCATCCGTCGTATGTACAAATAATTGTCCATCGCCGCGCATGGTTTGATTTCCTTGCACAGGTAATCCGATAAGATCTATCAGCTTGGAAAAAATGGCCGCCTTTTGACTTGATGTGACAATGGAAAGGGATTGAAACCCATCAAATAAGTGGAATTTGCGGCTGGTGGTGATTGTCAAGGTGGAAAGAAGATGGCATTTTCAAAGATGAAATAAGAATTTAAACTAAAATAATAGTGCCGTTTCTTCCTTTTGCCTAATAGCTATGTCGTGCATTTCGCCGGCTTCCATTCACTTTGATTTGACGTCAATTTCAATATAAATAACCTGATTGCGTGTGTATATCTATCTATCTATCCATCTGTGTGTTTGTGTCTGCACATATGCATGGTGATCATCTGCTTTCTGCAAGATGCCGGGAAAAGACTCACTATACAAAGTGGTAAAAAATATCTTTAGAAGTGTAAATCATCTTTATGATTTGTCAATGAACTATTTGTATATTGACTTTCTAATAAACAAAAAAGTGAAATTTGCGTGGTCACATGATTTCCTCGTTTCATTCAATGTTAGATTGGTGTCGCAAGAGTCATAATATAGTATGATTGACATCATATTGTTATTATTCAGACTCTACTTATGAAGCTTTATACTCCAGTTAACCAGATTGATGCTGCATTAACTAACTCTACTTATGAAGCTGTATACGTCAATAGCATTTTGTAAATGTATTTCAAAAAAAAAAGAAAAACAATCAATCCTGAATTTTAATGTTAATCTCAATTCTAATTATTAGCTTCTCTCACTGATTCATATATATAATATTCGTTTTTAGATCAGGATTATATACGCAAAATTAATATCAATATGAAATGATGCTTTATTAAATGGAAAAAAGTGTAGTATGTAATACATTCAAAGCAATATGCTACCAGTGACAACCAGAAAAGACAGAGACGAGTTATGGCTAACAAATCGAATTGCACTGTTAACAATTACTAGCGAACTGTGACTGTTGGACCTGCATATTGATGTAGTATATTCAAAGTCTTACTTTTTGAGAAAAGATGTTGCTATACCCATTCTCATTGATTTGCCGGTATTATTGTGGCATGTAATGGTGGATGAAACTGCAGAATCACTTTACAAATTATCTCTTCCATTCTGCTGCAGTGGCATCTGATGGAAGTGTCCTTGCTACTGGAAGTTATGATACCACTGTAATGGTGAGGGAAGTTTATCATGTCAAAGCTCCCGAAAAAAGACTAGGAACTTGCAAGCTGAGATTCATCAAAAAGATTATGTTGTTGCTGAAACTCCTTTCCATTTTCTCTGTGGCCGTGACGATATAATTACATGATTGTATATCAGCACGGAGCTTGATAAAGTCATCAGTGGGTCCAAAGATGGAACCAGCATCTTCCATACCTTGAGGGAAGGGAGATATGTTGGATCTTTGCGCCATCCGTCAGGCAGTGCTTTGTCAAAGCTGGTTGCCTCACAGAATGGACGGATCGTGCTTTATGCTGATGATGATCTCAGTTTGCACCTCTAGTCGATCAATGGTAAACACCTTGCTTTTCCTGAGTCTAATAGACGTCTCAATTCGGTTAAATTGAGCAGTTGTGGCGGGTTTTTAGATCTATAACTTAGAGTGCAAGTAAAGGATTAACTGTTGCTGGTATTCTTGTGAATGGAGGAAGGTTGCCGCCGAGGATAACTCCCCCAAGAGATCAAACCACTCAGGTTCAAGCTCGTTGCACGTCCTCACAGCCACAACCTCGCTGTCTCTTATCGTTGCTCCCATACGCACCATATCAGGTGTTACAGAAGTGTACTCACTCGAAGCCTGAATAAACTTGGTGATCTCATACGAACGGAAAACAACATTGGACTCAAAGGGAATCCACTCGGGGACACGGAAAAAATCCTCGACCATCTTTCGAGGGTCTGAGCCGCCGACGAGGACTGATGGTGGGCCAACTAAGCAATGCAACGCAGCGTTAAAGAGGCCGAAGAAGCAGCAACGAACACTGAGCTCAGCCGCTGTGGGAGGAAGCCAGTGAGAAGCAAAGTCACAGATCATCCAATCGAGTTTTGAGGATTCAACGAAACATGTTATGGTCGGTTGTAACTCGTCGAGGGCCATTCTGAGGAGCATTTGCTTGGAGTAGGTAACGTCAGTGGAGGACTCTGCATGGGGTGTTAAGTTGGGTATGTGAGGGAAAGGGAGGGATGCGAGGTTGACGAGCGGAGAGAGGTTTTGGGGTATTTTGGGGAGCCTTTGGAGGTTTCTTGGTGTTGAGATGAAAGAGATTTTGTGACCCTTTTGCGCCAAGTGTCTGGAGAGATGGAAGAAGGGGATAAAAAGAATGTCTATCTAGCAGACAAGTTTGAAGGGGGCAAAGCAAATCCAGTTACGTCTCTTTACATTCTCATTATAGTTGTAAGCGTCCACGGGCATGCCGTTGGACTTTGCAAAGCCACTGACTATTGGAGTGAATTCCAACCGCCCAAAGAATGTAGAGTTAATACTACGAAAAACTCTAAACTAGTACAATTATGATAATTTTACTCCAAACTATTTTTTTGATCATAAAAAACCCTAAACTGGTACACCTGTGACAAATTTACCCCAAACTATTTTTTTGATCATAAAAAACCCCAAACTGGTACACTTGTGACAATTTTATCCCGAATTAATTTTTTAATATTATTTTTTATTTTTTCGAATTATTTATTTATTTTTTCTTTTCTTTTTTTCCTTCATCTTCTTCATCTTCAACCTCTGACCGGTCGCCGGACCGGTGATCGACTAGAGGCGGAAGCCGACGGGGTCAACCCCACAGGCTGCTGGCGAGGTCGAGCCTCGCCAGATCTGGTGAGGGCTCGGCCCCGCCGGCGAGCACGGTGGCCGACATGGCCGCGCCTCTGGCCAAGAGCCACCGAGCGCTGAAAGACATTGCCATTGCCATTGTTGCTGCTGTGTTGAAGCTTCGAGGGAGCGAGAGCTCTGCTAGAGAGAGAGAGAGAGAGAGAGAGAGAGAGAGAGAGAGAGAGAGAGAGAGAGAGAGAGAGAGAGAGAGAGAGAGAGGCGTGGCCGTGTTGGCCGCCGTGCTTGCCGGCGGGGCCGAGCCCTCGCCAGATTTGGCGAGGCTAAAACTCGCCGGCAACTGGCGAGGTCTGCCTCGCCCTGCAACGGCGAGGTCGGCCTCGCCCAGCGCCGGCAAGGTCAAACCTCGCCAACGGCCGGCGGGGCCGAGCCCTCGCCAGATTTGGCGAGGCTTGAACTCGCCGGCAACTGGCGAGGGCTCGCCGGCGGGGCCGACCTCGCCGGCTTCTGCCTGGACCGGCGACTGGCCAGAGGTTGAAGATGAAGAAGATGAAGGATGAAGGAAAAAAAAAGAAAAGAAAAGAAAAGAAAAAATAAAAAATAATATAAAAAAATTAGTTCGGGGTAAAATTGTCATAAGTATACCAGTTTGGGGTTTTTGGTGGTCAAAAAAATAGTTCGGGGTAAATTTGTCACAGGTGTATCAGTTTGAGGTTTTTTATGGTCAAAAAAATAGTTTGGGGTAAAATTGTCACAGCTGTACCAGTTTAGGGTTTTTCGTGGTATTAACCAAAGAATGTAAACTATCGCTTACGGATTAATTCGATATGGATAACTCAAACACACATTTATCTACGAATAAAAGTGAAAAATAAAACTAAGATTTTCTTATGTCTGATCCCTTGTAGGAACTTGTAATAACGAACTTACAAAACGGATCTGTTTATTCCGCCGTGCCTAGTCCTTGGGCGTACCCTATCTTGAATCTGGAATCAAATTTGTGTCGGCACGTGTCATACTGGCTATCTTTACCTGGTGGAAATTATGAATCAAGTCGGAAGAATCTAAGGGAAAAGGATTTCGCCCTAAAGCGGGCCGATTGTTGTTTTGGGGCACTCAAAGTAGTTCTTAGGATAGGCTGCCATTTGACACCTGGAGGAAGGTGGGATCACTATTGTTCGCCCTACTTAAGTAGTAAAACGACTCTATAAGTAAATAAGTAAACGAAATACTACTAAAGGTGTTGCGGAAGCCAAGCGATCGAACAATAAAATTGACAAACACTCTTAGTATTTCCCAAGCCTCAATTACACCTAATAACGCATGCAGTGTTTAGCCCCACAATTCCTTACGAAATAATCTCTTAATCTCACAAAAGAATTATACATAAATTCTAACCACCACAAGAATTTAATCGACTTCAACACTTGAGTTGTTGATGTAATTCCATGAAGAGAAACTCGCATCAAGCACTCGTTGAGAACGGCGCTTCCGAACAGAATTCACGAGAAAGCTCTCTGCACCAAGCACTCGCTCAAGCGGCGCTACACCAATTCTCTTCCTGTAATACAATAATATATATATACGCATGCCCAAGAAGAGAACGTGGCCGACTCAACATGGGATTGGAAACCTAGATAATTCGGTCAACCAAAATCAACCTTTTGACTTTCCTATTTTGTCTTCTTTCTTCACCGAGTCCAACTTGTAAAGGGAAAGAAATACGTTCTTCTTTTCTTTGATCCATCGTTGACTGGGTCAATGTCTATCTCAAAGTCCACGTTGGCCTTTCTGATGGACTTTCCTATTTCAAGCCATGGACTCCAACTTCAATAGGAAACTCACGTCTCTTTTGCTTTGCTCGATTTCGGATGGCCGCAAAATATCTAATTCCAAATATTTAGATTTTTATTTTGGGCTCAAACTCGAGATATATTTTAACAAAAGGGTATGTGGTCGCGACTAGAAAAGAGTATGCTTTGCTGTTGAGCTGCTCGCTGGGTTCGCCTTTTGTCTTTAAGTAGCGCCTTTTGAAGTGAAAGCTTATGTTCAATTTAGTACAATACAAACAAAAACTACACCAAAGTGGAAGTGGAAGTGCCACTATAGAAGCTAGAAGTAGCCTATAGTAGTAGGCCTAACCAAAGCGTCACGACATGTTGTTTATATCGATTGAGTTGGAGGGACGAGGGTTTACATCATCCATTCATATGGAACGCGGTACGAATCCAATTACCTGAAAGGATCATCCGCAGGTTAGAACCGCCAATTCAACCTCTAAACTCTTGTTTTCTCGGTTGATCCACCCGATCTCAGAAAAGATGTAACCTTGGAAGTTGGACAATAGTTTCCGCAACCCGGTTGCTGCGTCCAACACAAAATCGAACTCCGCGAGCAATTCCTGCCATCGCGCTTGGTTGGTTGGGAGTACGACGTATAGTGTTTTATCTGGCATGCCCACTTATAGCACGAAGAAGCTGCATCCGCTTGCCCTTCACTTAGTTGCTTTGGCACATAACTTATTTCATTCGAACAGTTTGGCCTATAGGAACCAGGCTATCTACCGCTTTTAAGCCTGTTTGCATAGGCTCGTGCACAGATTTATGTTCTATAATCCCAGGGGCTTTCACTTCAACACGCCTTCGTTCGTGATTGCTTAGAGCCCCTCTTCCATCAATAGGTACTCCCAAGGCATCGACGACACAACCTAAGATAGCCTTTCCCGCAGGATTGGATCGGTCTTTCTTTATTTCTTCTCTGAGGAAGCAACATGTGCCAAAAACTACCCGTACTTGATTATGAGCAATATTTATCGCTGCTTTAATTGTCACAATAGAACCTCAAAGGATTGTAGTCAGCGTGAGCAGAAGAGTTATAACTAGAATAGTTTTCCCGGCGAGTAGTCTATCTAGTAGACTAGGAATCGGGAAAACTAGAAGTTAGAGTTGGTGGAACCCTGAACTCCATAGTTCTTTTGGAATGAACACACCATGTGGAATGGGTCTACCTGGCTTTGGATACCACCCAACCGGTGCTTCTTGATTCGCCAAGTTGGGGCAAACGCAAACCAAGCCATCCCACCCTGGAGTCATGTCTTGGTTCACAGTTTATCTGAATCAGACTAAGAAATTGGCATCAACAAAGCAAGGCCCTTTGGACTCAAGAATGCTGGGGCAACCTACCAAAAGGCCATGAAGCTAGCCCATTAAATAGATCACCTATGCGTACCTTATCTATAAAAAGGAAGAACTCTAGCTAGATCTTCAACTCTAACCCAAAAACTACAACGGAAAACTTGATTTTTTATTCTGAAATTGAGCTTGTTTAAGAACTCGAAATGCAAGACATGACTGAGAGAGGTGGCACTCCAAGCTCTTCTTAGAATTGGACCAACAGTTCTTTCGAACTCGTCAAAATCCACCCCTGTGAAGAATAATCTTTCCACATAGTGGGATTGGTCTCCCCCCTTATTCACCTCTCTCTAGAAGGTTCTATTAGTCAAGCTTGGAAGCAAGCTGCTAGAAGTAGCGCGCTATTTACTAATAAAATCTCAAGTCAAGGCTCTTCTCATCGGGATTAGATGGCCCATTGCAAGCCATGGGAACATTGCTATGTGCAGAGATTCATGGCCCTGGTGAGCTTCACCTTTCTTTTCCACGGAAGCTAACTTGAGAGAGAGAGAGAGAGAGAGAGAGAGAGAGAGAGAGAGAGAGAGAGAGAGAGAGAGAGAGAGAGAGAGAGAGTTGGTTCTTCTCTACGGAGGGAAAACGTTTGGTTTTATGAGGCATAATATAGGAAGAGTACAAGTGTGTGTTAACGTGGGATTTGCAAGGTAATTAATTAATGTTAACTCGACAGATACACTTTGAAAAGTTTGCTTTGGTCCTGCACAAAATTCTAAGTGAAAACATTCAAAACACTGTGTTCTTTGTTTTGACAGACTATTTCATGTTCTTATGAAAACAACCTTCTTGGTATTTGCAACAAACGATGTATACTATAAGCTTGCATGATGCATATATGTTAACCCAACATATAGTTCATTACTGACATAATAATAATAATAATTCAAACACCATCCGTCATATGTGCAAATAATTGTCCAACACCATGCATGGTTTGATTTTGGGAAAAGTGCCAAAAAAGTCCTAAACCTTTTGCATTAGTGCCAATTTAGTCTTAAACCTTTTTTTGGTGCCAATTCAGTCCTAAACCTTTTGCATTGGTGCCAATTTAGTCCTAAACCTTTTTTGATGCCAATTAAGTCCTAAACCTTTTAAATTGGTGCCAATTCAGTCCTAAACCTTTTGTTTTTGTGCCAATTTAGTCCTTCCGGTCAATTTTGACCTGAATTTGCCGACGTGGACACCTGCCGGCCGGATGCCAGTCACCGGAGCCGACGTGGACAATTTTAATATTTTTTTGAATTTTTTTTTTTTCCTTTTTTTTCCACTTTTTTTTTTGGGTCCTCCCCTCCTTCCTCTGGCCCGTCGCCGGTCCCGCGACCGGCCAGAGGCCAGAGGCCGGCGAGCTCGACCTCGCCGGCCACTGGCGAGGGTGGCGGCCTCGCAAGGCGAGGGCGAGCCTCGCCTTGGTCGGGCGAGCCTCGCCTTGGTCGGGCGAGGCTCGAC